TACTTCGAGACGCATAACTGCATCGCGATTCCGAATGAGGATCGGGGGATTGATATGATTGTCAGCACGCAGGGTGTCAATGATGTTCAGGTTGGAAGTTGGAATTTCTTGAATCATCTATGTCTCTCCCGCTCTCTCTCCTGCTCTCTCTCTCTCGCTCCTCTCTCTCTCTCGCCCTCTCTCTCTTTCGATCTATCTCTCTTGCTCTGTCGCTCTCTCACTCTCGCTCTGTCGCTCTCTCACTCACTCCCTTTCTCTCTATCTCTCTCTTTCTCTCTCTCTCTCTCTCTCTCGCGTTCAACCCTAAAAACGATTTTCAGATTGAAGTCTCAAAAATCCTGAACATTCCCCGGAATCGAGTCAACATCCGCGTGAAGCGAGTCGGAGGCGGTTTTGGTGGAAAGGAGTCGACCAATTCGCTCTCTGCTGTTCCATGCGCGTTGGCTGCGCTGAAGTTTGTGATTTTACGTTTAGTATTAAATGTAAAAAATGCCAAAAATTACTTATAAAACGACGATTTCAGGCTTCAAGCACCCGTGAAATTGTACCTGGAGCGATTTGATGATATGGCCATCACTGGGCATCGTCATCCGTTTAATTTCAATTATAAGGTAACAATTTCGATGGAATTGCCTTTTTAAAGGAACTAGGAAGGCAAAATCTGTAACCCTAGCAATCCCGGAAACGCAAGAAAATAAGTGATAGCTGAAAAATGATAAAAGGGAGGGCCACGCCACCTTCCGGTTGCGGGACCCATATGCGTTCAGCAAAAATTGGATTTTTCTGCATATGCTTAGCGAATATTAAATTTTTCTTCTTTCCTGCTTTCCCATCCTCCTTAAAAAGTGCCAATTTTCAGGTAGCTCTCTCTGAGGAAGGAAAATTGCTGGATTACGAGGTGACCGCATTTGCCAACGGCGGCCATACGCTGGATTTGAGCGCCGGAGTTTTGAGTGAGTTGTTGGGAGCTTTGCAGCAAGTCGCACTTTTTTTCTCTTGCTCTCTGTCTCTTTCTCTCTCTCTCTCTCTCTCTCTCACTCTCTCTTCTCTCTCTCTCTATCGCTCTCCGCCTCTCTATCTCTCTCTCTTTCACTCTCTCCTCTCTCATATCTCTCTCTCTCTCTCTCTCTCTATCTCTCTATCTCTACCTCTCTCCTTTCGCTCTATCTCTTTTTCTCTCTCCTCTCCTCTCTCTCTCTCTCTCCTCTCTCTCTCTGTCTCTCTCTCGCTCGCTCTATCTCTTTCTCTCACACTCACTTAAATTTCAAATTTTTTTAGCACGAGCAATGGTCCACATCGACAATGTATACAAATTCGGGAATGCCCATATCTATGGCCGGATTTGCCGCACGAATACGGCTTCAAATACGGCTTTTCGAGGATTTGGAGGCCCGCAGGGCATGTTCTGCACGGAGACACTGATGAAGCACATCGCCGAGACATACGACTTGGATGTTGATGAGGTTAGCGCTATCTCTCGCTTGCCCTTTATCACTCTCTGTCTCTATCGCGCGCTCTCTCTCTCTCTTTTTCGCTCGCATGCCCTTTCTTTCTCTCTTTCACTCACTCTCACTCGCTCACTCGCTCTCTCTATCTTTCTCTCGCTCGCACTCGCTGTCGCTTTCTCTTTCTCGCTCTCTCTTTCTCTCTTTCTCGCTCTCACGCTCTGTCACTCACTCTCATTCTATCTCTCTCTCCTTCTTTCTCTCTCTCTCTCTCTCTCTCTCTCTCTATCGCCACTTTTCAGCTCCGCGAGAAAAATCTCTACAAAGAGGGCGAAATGACACCATTCGGGATGCATCTCCGAAAATGCAACGCAAAAAGAACGTGGGATGAATGCAGGGAATTCAGCAGATACGACGAGCGAAAACGGATGGTTGCGGAATTCAACAAGTGTGTTTTTGGAATGTTCAACTTTCAGCAAATGACAGACGCAGTTAGCATAAATCAAAAATTTCTATATTTTTTTACTTATACTTGTTGCACCGTAGAGGAAATTTTTTCAGGCAAAATCGCTTCCGGAAGCGCGGCATCTACGTGATGCCCACCAAGTTCGGCATCGGTTTTGGGATCAAGTTTATGAACCAGGTAAAAGAGAGAGAGCGAGAGAGAGAGAGAAAGAGGGAAAGAGAGAGAGAGAGAGAGAGAGAGAGAGTGAGTGAGAGAAAGAGCGTGCGAGTTCTGCGTTTGTGACCAACTACGTTTCCAGGCGTCCGCGCTTGTTCTCGTGTACACCGATGGGTCGGTGCTGATCTCGCATGGCGGTATGGAGATGGGCCAGGGATTGCATACAAAGATTTTACAGGTATTTTCTGAATTTTTAGAAATTGCACGATTGTTTCAGATCGCGGCTCGGTGTCTGGATATCCCAATCGATTTAATTCACATCGAGGAGACGGCCACGGACAAGGTACGGTAGCTTTTGGGCATAGGACTAACTGGAATAATGCCTATATTTGGTCCTTTTGCACTTTCTTACTGTCTCTGTCGCACTTTTTCTCTCTTTCTCCCTCTCTCTCTCTCTCTCTCTCTCTCTCTCTCTCTCTCTCTCTCTCTTCTCTTTCTCTTTCTCTTTCTCTCTCGCTCGCTCTATCTGTCTGCATTCACTCTCACTTTTGTATCTCTTCGCCTTCTCTCCACCTCACTCTATCTTCCGCTCTCGCTCTCTCATGCTCCCCGCTTGAACCCAACTCAAGGCACTCCTTTTAGGTCCCGAACGCATCTCCAACCGCAGCCAGTGTTGGATCTGACCTCTGCGGAGTGGCCGTCCAAAACGCTTGCGACCAATTGACGGAGCGACTGAGGCCCTACAAGGAGAAACTGGCCGACAAAACATGGAAAGAATGGGTGGCAGCGGCGTATATGGATCGAGTGTCGCTGTCGGCATCTGGGTTTGGGATGTGGGTTTTTAGAAAAATGATCACCTAAAATACTTGATGCTGGAGAACGAGAGAGAGAGAGAGAGAGAGAGAGAGAGAGAGAGAGAAAGTGTCAGACATTGAAAGAGTGAAAGAAAGTCAGCGAATGAGTGAGCGAGAGAGAGTTAGTGGGAGAGAGAGTGGGTGAGAAAGTGGGTGAGAGAGTGAGAGAGAGTAAGAGAGAAAGAGAGAGAGAGAGAAAGAGAGAGAGAGAGAGAGAGAGAGAGAGAGAGAGAGAGAGAGAGAGAGGAGAGAGAGTCCAATTCCAGAATCCACAACGAGCCGGTCGATTTTTTTAATGGAAAGGGAGCGGAATTATTTGGATACTGTGTATACGGGACGGCTTGTTGCGAGGTGGAAGTGGATTGTTTGACTGGAGATCACAGGGTAGGTCAAGAATATTTAAAGGGACTGAGGAGGCAGTCGAAAAACGGCCTTTTAACGGACAGAAACCTGCATAATTACTTTTAGCTCCTCTCTACGCACATTGTAATGGACATTGGAGACTCGTTGAACCCGGCGATCGATATTGGCCAAATCGAGGGCGCTTTTATCCAGGGCTACGGATTGTTCACGATGGAAGAGATCAGGGTTCGACCAAATGGAATGAGATTGACAAGAGGTAAAACCCGGAAATTCTAATTTTTGAAGTTAGGCAGGCTAGCAGAGGTTCCTGGCGAATGCTAAGACTGACTTTAAGAGCTCCAAAAAATTTCGGCTTGATTCCCAGCGCAGGGCCGTTTTCAGGGCCATTGAAAACGTAACTGCCCGTTTTCAGGCCCCGGAAACTACAAAATCCCGTCGGCTGATGACGTGCCTAGGGACTTCCACGTGGCCCTTCTGAAGGGCTCCTCCAATCCGTCTGCCATTTTTGCCAGCAAAGCCGTTGGAGAGCCACCGCTATTCCTGGGAGCTACCGTATTCTTCGCGGTTCGGGAGGCCATCCGAGCGTATCGCATTCAAAATGTAGGTGCAAAAAACCTAACCATGCATCGAAATTACTCGAAATCCCGAAAAATTCGATTTTGAAAATTATATTTTTCCTTAAAAATCGAAAAATTTATCTTATTTTTTGGTGATAAAATCGGTCATTTTAACGCACAATGTTTCAGGGTAAGCAAGGCTACTTCCGCTTCGACTCCCCAGCGACGCCAGAGGCCATTCGAATGGCGTGCGAGGACGAATATTTGGAAAAGGTATCAAAGTTCCGAATCTTACTAGTTTCGCGCTTTTAGGGTCAACTTATTTCTGAAGGTTTCAATTTTAAAACAGTTACCGAATTTCAGATCCCCTCCCTTCCGGAAGCCGGCACCTTCACCCCGTGGACCGTTCCCCTCTAAACTGTCGGATAGTTGCAGAGCTTGCTATTTATTTGAATAAAGAATTCTATGCTAGAAAATGAGAATTTCTGCTAAATTAGGTTATGGTACTTTTTTACGAGTAAAAGCGGAAAACGAGACTAGCGAGTGCGAGAGAGTGAGAGAGAGCGAATAGGAGAGACAGAGTGACAGAAAGATAGAGAGAGAGAGAGAGTGAGAGAATGCTGGAAAGAGAGGGAGAGAGACAGTGAGTGAGAGACAACGAGTGAGTGAGACAGACCATTTCATGATATTTAGATTATTTATCTGCACTTTTAAAGCCATATTCGATAAGCTCAAGACGTAAAATATCTAAAACAAGGTAAGCGTCGGATGTTGCCATGATTTTTCCAACGCTTCCTTTGGGAAATCAATGTACAGCGGAGCGTCGCGTAGTCCCCAAAGAGTACGGGCTGTAAAATGTCGCTGAAAAATGTTTGTCTCTCGCTCTCTCTCGCGCTCTCTCTCTCTTTCTCTCTTTCGTTCTCTCTCGCTCTCTCTCGCTCTCTCTCGCTCTTTCTCTCTCTAGCTCGCTCTCTCGTACCATTTCTTCTGAAATCCCTCCTCCCAGTCACTCCTTCATCATCAATCTCGACGTAATTCCACCGGCTTGTATCGAGCGGTTCGGTTGCGGGTGGAATCCTAAAAAACGCTTTACCGTAGCGAAGCTGAATCGAAGGCATGCTAGCATAGGCTGCTTAGGAAAGTAAAATATTTTAACTCACCCCCTCACAAAATCCGTCCACAACCTGGCCATCTCTCGGCCGGCCATCCCACCTTTTCTTCCGAATAATAGAGATAGATCATCGCCATGCAGGACGGCTAAAAATGGGTGGATTACGGTCGATAAATTGGGGTTTTCGAACGACTTTAAATATCACCTTTAACACCTGAAAAGCAAAAAAAAAAACAGAAAAACGGGATTCGGGAGGCGAAGTTTTCAATTTTCGCTCCAAATTCCGCTAATTCCACTTATTACGGTTATAAAAAAAGCTGTCGCTCTGGAACCCACGTTTATAACCGTCAATAAAAAACGATGAAGCTGGTTGGGTGAACTCGTAGAGGTACACGTTGGCTCCGAGTTTTTGATAGTACAGCGCTTCTCGAATTGTCCTTGAGGCAAAGAATGCATCCGTCAATACCTAAAAATTATGTTAATGTGTATTCTTGACGTTAAATCCGTCAGGAAGTCCCAAAATCGACCCCTAAATCCACTAGGTCTCGACAGCCGACGTCAAAATACCTTTTCACCAATTGAAATTCGTTGGAAAATCCCTTGTTTTTTGCTAATTTGCCTAGCGGTTTGTTGACGAGACCTAGTGGACGTAAGGGTCGATTTTGGCTTTCTAGCCATTTTAAAGGTACAGTGACGGCAAAAAAAAGCTTACATCAATCGTTGTCTCCACCCAGGAAGACACATTAGGATTCATCGCCGAGAATCCATAGCCGTCGACCATTTTCCGCATTTTTGAGGTGATTTCAGGTCTCGGGAAGGCGAAAGCGAGGATCTAGAAAGCACATTAATGAGATATTGCCATTTTAGGGTACTGTAGATATTACTGTACGGTACGGTAGCTTTAAGTTAAACGGTAAAAAATCAGAATTTTGCGATTTATTAGCAAAATTTGTCCTGTTTTTCATGATTCTGATCTCAAAAATATTTCTAGCCTTTTCAGGGAACCATAGTAATATCAGGGAGGAATACAGAAAACTACTTCGACACAATCTTGGCCCACCTTGGACACGAATTTTACCACCATCCGCCAGTTGTAGATGGCGGGGTCGAGGGCTTTCACGCCGTCCAGCATTAGCTTCAGCTCTAGAATCGATTTTTCGAGGTATTTTTTTAGCTTGCAGTTTACCAAAGGCCGCCCACTCGTCTCGGGTAACACCCAGAAAAACTTCTAGCGGTTTCGAGGAGTTCAAGCTCCCATTGACATTTTCGGCCATCACCCTCGGCACGTCAGTGAACAGCTCGCCGTCGACGACCAGTGGCCAGCCGAGGAAGTTTTTCTAAACGAAATATATTTTAAGATCCGCGTAAGTTATCTAGGCAAATCGCCAAAGCTACTGTACCTGGTCAAAATGCTCCAGAACATCATCAATCTCCCTGTACTCCATATAGCTCTCAACCTCCTCCAGCTCGGATTTTTTCAGGTTTTTGGCATGGATATCCGTGTAGGTTGCCTAAATCTCGTATAGTACGCTCCGGCTACTGTACGTATTACTGTGTCGTATACCTTGACTACCGTACACCCGAATTACGTTCCAGCTATTCTGTTGAAAATTTAAAAATTTTATTTTTGATACCTACCGATTTTATCAATTTTGCCGAAACATCACGATAGCCCCAAGATCCGTCGAATGCCGATTCTGAAGACCCGCTCGCCAGGATGAGGCGAGAGATCAGTCCTAAAACCCGAAAAAAATTAGATTTTTGGGATTGTATCTTTCTGAGTCTTTAAAATTTGCTGTTGCGCATACCATCAGCCTTTCCGCTCAAATACAAGCAACTTGCAATGGACGCCCCTGCAGAATGACCAGCTACAGTAATCGCGTCTGGGTCACCGCCGAAGCTAAAATTTTTCTGAAATGTTTTCTAGAGAGAGAAACAGAGGACAGAGAGCCAGGAGAGAGAGAGAGAGAGAGAGAGAGAGAGAGAGAGAAAGGCTACCTCTCGATGTTCTTCTTCACCCAATTCAACGCCAGCAACACGTCATGAGCCCCGACGTTCGAATCGAAATTTGTTGTAATTTGGAGGACATCGGGAAGTAGATTTTTAACGTTGAGGAATCCTGAAATTCAACTCTAGAAACGCTTTCCTCTATGTTTACCTAAAAATCCTAGACGATACTGTACAGTGACGACGACGATGCCTCTGGAAACGAATCTGAATATTTAGAGAATTAGAGAGCGAAGAGAGAAGAGAGAGAACCAGATAAAGAGAGAGAGAGAGCGAGAGAGAGAAAGATAGCATGAGATATAGAGAGAGTGGGTGAGATAAAGAACGCTTCAAAGATGATTTCTAACCTCTCGATCACGACTTCTGGGTCCAAATTCCCATTTCCGGTCTGAAGCTGACCACCGTGAATCCAAAACAGAACCGGAACAACTCCGGGGACGTCCTAAAATCCTTATCATTTACCATATTAGATTACGGGAGAGAGGGAACGATAGAGGGAGCGAGAGGGAGAGAGAGCGGGAGAGAGTGAGAGAGAATAAGAGAGTGAGTGGGTGAGTGAGTGAGAGAGAGAGAACGACATACCGGTGGTGCATAGATATTCAACGAAAGACAGTCATCAGACACAGTAGTTCCCAGCTTCTTCGCTTCGGCTCGACCATCAATTTGTGGACACAATGGTCCAAATCGGGTTGCATCGACGTTACCGTAGTAGGTGATTGGGAATGGTTTCTAAAGTGGGTATAATTGGAGACGAAAAGAGCGGGAGAGATATAGAGAGCCCGAGGGAAAAGGGGAAGAGAGAATGAGAGAGATATCGAGAGAGAGAGAGAGAGAGAGAGAGAGAGAGAGAGAGAGAGAGAGAGTGAGAGAGAGCTACCTTGAATCTTGGTCCAAAACCATACTTGATGCCCAGGAAGACACGACCTAAAAAATCTAGGTTTATCTCAGATCTCAGAAATCTCGAAAATCCTAAATGATGTCTGCTAGCTGGCCTTGGCCTTTGGAGCGGAGGAACTATCAGAAACTATCCTGAAGGATCTCTGCTGGTTCGCCGTCTATTTTGAGCAGCTTCTAGGGCGCGAGCATTCCTATTTGCACCAAATTACGGTACGTTTTTCAATTATTTTGACGAGGATAAATATAGGCAGAATTTCATAACAACTATTAAAATTAACAAAATATAATAGCGTTTTTTGATTTGCGCATACGTAAATAAAAATTTTTTTTTAAAACGAAGGGGAAAGGGGGGGGTTTTTTTTTGGGGGGGGGGTAGATTACAGAAAGGTACAATACCCGGTTTTCCAGTAGCTGTAGTATACGAAAAGCCGGTGATATCACCATAGGGAGTTCGGGCCAGTTCTCTCGCGCCCGAGAAGTTGGGCAAGTTCTGGAAGAAAAGCAGCAACAGGATGAACGACATCAGCAGCCAGTACAGCAGAAAATGGTAGCAATGAATACAGCAGTTATTTCTGCAACTGTCTGCCATTTTTAAAAAATTTTGGGAATATGGAAGTGAAAAGCGATAAAGAAAAAGTGGGCATTTTTCGATATTTTTTGGGTGCTCCCGGACCCCCGAGAAGCAGCAGACCATGACGAATCCGCAGGTTGCGTCGAGAAAGGAGAGAAAGAGAGCAAAAAAAACTACCAAAGCATTTTATAAAAACCAAGCTTTTAAAAATTGCTGAATCGATTATGAGATTAAAAATTATTATTCTCTGATCAAAAACGTAAAATACCATTCAAAATTCCGATTTTAATCTCTAAAACTTTTTCTTAAAATTTGGAAAACTAGCAAAGAAAAATTTAATTTAATTTAATCTATTTAACAAATTGTTTCTGAAGTTTAATTAGCGAATTCGAAAAAGCTCTGCTAAAAACTAAAATTTAAAATAGTTTTTTATGCTCAGCTTTTAAACTTTAAAACTTCCGCATATGCTTTTATGCAAAAAAAAACATAAGAAAAACTGAACGTTGTATTTTATAAGCGAGAAATTTTTGCATCTGAATTTTTTTAGGAAAATTCAATGCGCTCCTTTGCTCTAGGAACCGGAAATAGGAAAAGTTTCAAACTTTTTTAACAAATCGTGATTATTATATTGTAGTAGAAAAATTTACTAATGGTTAAAAATCAATGCAACAATCAGGCATGTTGGATGATAAGGGGCTAACTGTGTAAAAACCCGGGCGTTTTTCCAGCCATGCGATGGTCAGTAAGTCAACGCCCCAAGGTCAAGGTTGAGATGCCGAATTCCAGGGCAATCCTATTGCGTTAATTCGATGCGTCATTGAGGAGAAAAAGCAGCTAAAAGCACGTTAACCTCGCAAATAGATCTATTTTTTCCGGAAATTTACCGTCCCCAACGATCTTCTAGGTTGCGATTATTTTGAAGCCACCGCAAAACCATTCAGTCATCGTCAACAAGCTCCAGAAAAACCTAACGAACAACAAGGGACCGCCCATGTTTTACCAAAACCGCACAATCTGCATTTTTTCAAAGCCATGAGAAAACTAGCGTTGGCTGGCACTGAAGCCGATCAAATTGAGCCTTTGTCAAAAAAAAACGTCTCCTTTTCCCATGGAAAATATCGAAAATCGAGCAAAAGTTCCGGAATTCCGCAGGTCGAAGCAGCCATCTGGATGGGGTACGATCATTACTTCTAAAATCATTACTTCTAAAAACGTTACTTCTAAAATTTGGTACGCCGGATTACCAGTTTTTCGGCATATTTATGCCCAAAAATAAGCTTCGAATTTTAGAAGTAATGATTTTAGAAGTAATGATTTTAGAAGTAATGACTTTTAGAAGTAATGATTTTAGAAGTAATGATTTTAGAAGTAATGATTTTAGAAGTAATGATTTTAGAAGTAATGATTTTAGAAGTAATGATTTTAGAAGTAATGATTTTAGAAGTTATGATTTTAGAAGTAATGATTTTAGAAGTAATGATTTTAGAAGTAATGATTTTAGAAGTAATGATTTTAGAAGTAATGATTTTAGAAGTAATGATTTTAGAAGTAATGATTTTAGAAGTAATGATTTTAGAAGTAATGATTTTAGAAGTAATGATTTTAGAAGTAATGATTTTAGAAGTAATGATGGGTAGCCATCTGGATCCGGCTTTTCGAGACCTGTCGAAAGATACCTAAATCGTAAAAATCGGGACTCACTGTGGACTGCAAGAGGACCGGGGGACTTCCTCGGGCGACCCTGTACATCGCGAATCATCCATAAAACCGCTTTTAAATTAATTAACCAATTGAAATAAATAAATTTAAATGATGCCAGGGCTCTTCGCCGCTGTTTCCGATCAGTGGACCAAGACCGTCATGTCTGCGTGGCCCGGCCGGTTGAGGGGGCAGCATGCCCCCTCGGCTCCCGGCAAAATTCGTGCAGCCCCCGGCGTGCATAGAAATCGCGCAGGCGGCTGCACGAATTCTACCGGGAAGCGAGGGGCATCGCTGCCCCTCAACCGGCCGGGCCACGAAGGCATGGCGGTCTTGGTCAGAGAAGCCTCCACACTCCCGACCCCACTGTTTCTTGTGGGCCAGGCGGGGGGCGAGTGAGACATGGTTAGCGAGCATCCACGTTTTTGGATTTTTGCGGCCGGGGAAGCGAAGATTGACTTTTAAAGTTCTCTTGAGTTTTGAAAATTGTGGAAATCCAACGTAAAAATGGATAATTAATTTTATAAAAGTTTCAAAATTAAATTTTCTGGTTTTGTAGGAAAATGATAAAAACGAGGCTTTCCATTGTTTCCAGTCCGCATCCGCCTCTTTTGTATTTTAAAAATTTTTGAAAATGTATGAGAATTGCTTTCACGCGTAATTTTCAGCTTTTTAAAAAAAAGTTTCGTCATAAATCTTGAAATCCGGCTGGTCTTAAAGGTTTCTCGTTGTTTTTACTCTAGAATTGTTTAATTTTATTTTGTTCGTCTGGTTTTTTAATATAAATACGTTAAGCGTTGAGCATTACGAGAAGTCAGTTTTATAGTTTATTTATTCCCCCAAAATGCCCGTTTCAAAACGATTTTTTTTGAGAAAACACGGAAAATCGTGATTTTTTAGTTTCCTAATGAGTTTTTGATTTATGGAGGTTCCTTGAATGTTTTTAGCGTTCGAAAAACACCGCAAAAAGGCTATTACTCGGAAAAATTGATTTCCTTCCACTTCCACTTCCCCATCCTCCCCCCGCCCCCCGCTAACAGCCCAGTCCCGAATGCGCTTTGGAACACTCGAAATTAAACCTGTTATTAACTTGTGGTCATTTTCATGTGCCGAATTTTTGTTTCTGGTTGCTCAAAACCCATCAATATTATCAGAAGATTTTATCGGCGATTTCAGTCGGTCGGAAATGCCTTTGAATGGCTGTCGTTGAAAATAAACTATAAAACATATACAGGGTGTCCCAAAAAAACGAACCATCTGGCATTTCGCCGCCTTCCATCCCAATCGGCCCCAAATTTGGACCATAGGTGTATCAGACCCTAAATAACAACAATCCTGAATTATAGCCCCGTAGCTACAGTCGTTCTCGAGTTATAGCAAAAACAAACTTTATTTTCCATTTTTCACAGGGTTTTCGTGGAATTAGACCCCCTAAACATTAAGTTAAAATGATCCAGTAGGCCTTCTTTACCTTAAGAAATTTTTTCCAGACTTAAATTAATTAAATAAGCTTCGATTTAAGCGATTTTTACAACGCAAAATTACCCAAGATCTTAAGCGAAATTAGAGATTCGCATCCGGAAGTCTATGCAAATCGATGCAAAGTCCAACAAGATAGCCAATAAAACTGTTCATAATTACGGGAAAAACAGTATTTTCGTTATAACTTTAAAACTACTGTAGCTATGGGGCTGTAAGTCAAGATTGTTGTTATTTAGGATCTGATACACCTCTGGTCCAAATATGGGACCGATTGGATGTAACACGGCAAAATGCCAGATGGTTCGTTTTTTGGGACACCGTGTATAAAATTTAGATAGAAATCGACGATTCAGCGTCTCTTTCTCCTTGCTGAAGCGAAAGCGTTCCGATAAGCTTGCAGAAAAATTACTCTCCGCTGTGTGTGTTATTTACCGGAATTTAATCATTTTTCCGAATTTTCTGAAATTCCGCTTGCCCCCCCTCCGCGCGTCTGAACGATGCTGCATATCCACTGGCTAATATCAGGCTAATCCGGCTGATCAAGACAAGAAGACACAAAAAGGGGAGGGTGGTTTCGGGATCATAAAAGCGATCCCCGCCGTGAGCACCCCGGCGAGAGAACGCGAAAAATCAAGAGGGCATAGACAATCACCCGCATAGGGTATCCCCGCGTAGTCCCGAAAGTACCGTAGCCCCGAGCCGATTCGACCGGTCAGTTCTCGACCAGACTCGGGCGAGCTGGGGTGCTGTTGCTATCTCTGGGGTCTCTCTTTTCACGCGCTCTCTCGCCACCCTTACCCGGTTTTTTCAAAGCCGACGCCCCTGAATTTATGGAGATGCTCGCGGGGTGGATGTGGCCTATGCAGCGAAGCCGTTAAAATCCCACCCATTCGCCCACACTTTCGGTTCAGCCCGGGCACTACGGTGGGTGTGGAAAAAAAACAACGTAGAACAGCTGATTTTTTTGGAATAATGTTCTTATCGTAAATCATGGATACCGTACTGTTATCGGGGGAGTAGCAAGGGGCCTCACGAATTTTTATTTTCCTGCATATGTCTATTGATAATCATCTGATATTTTTCTAGTGTTGTTAACAGTTTTTCAGTTTGAAAAGTACAAAAGTAATTTTGGCAAAAGTTAAAATTAAAATTTATTTCTATGGTCGCCGCCTAATTTCTGCCATCATAAAATATCACAAACTGATCCCGGGCCGACAAAGCCACCGCCAGCCATGGCAACATTCCGATCCTTTAGGCGGGGCGGAGTCCGGAATGCTACCGTAAGCCGGGGCGGAGCCAGAGCCAAATTCTCAGCTATTCCGAGTTCCATAAACGATTTCGGATGATTGTCGATAACGGTATCCGGTGCGGAAATCGCCGGAGCGCCCGAAACACAATCATTCATGGAAAAAAGGTTAACGGTCATCCTGGCCTGGAACCCGTGGGGATGACGTGTTTCGGACAATTTTTTTGGGATTCTAATTGAGTCTTGATGTCACGCGAATGACTGGAGGGCGCTAAACTTAAACATCCCCCTCGAATCTGTAAGGGGTGCATAAGGCAAAAAGCTAGCTCAAGAATTGATCTCAAAAAATCGTGTTCCTGGGCTGGCCATCGCTCGAAAATTTTGCCTATCTAGTCAAAAATTAAATCCTAAACATTTCCAGGCCTTAAATTTTCAAAAAATTTCGCGAAACCGGGGTTTTGCGGGATGTGCCCCTAGCAGAAAACTGAAATTCCGTATTCCAACTATCGCAATGTCTAAAACCAATCGTCGTGGTCGAAATTCCATGTGCCACAATGCTGAAAATCTAAAAAGCCGAAATTTCAGAATGTCGCAACTTCAATGTGACGACAGTTTTTAGCTCGGCTTATGTAATTTTTGATGCAATGTAATTTCGGCATTATGAAACGTCGCCGTGAATTTCGAGTTTATGAATAATTTCGGCATCTTATAGCAACAAGTACTCTCAAAGCTTCTCTAAAAGTTTCTAACTGCTTCGCAAGCATTGCCTAGATTCCGGCAAATCGTCCCAGGTCCCCGATCGCTGATCGCTCACCTCCGGCAGACCAGCCAATGAGCCTCTTCATGATGATAAGCCCTCTGCGAGGTCTTTCAAGGTGTCGCCGGCTTTTGCGATGATCTCCCGGATTTGATCTGCCGCTGAGCTTTCCGACCCGAAATCACGCGCGTCGAAACATATGGGAAAGGACGCTGCGCTCCGTGATGCCCCTGAAATGGGCCATAAATCAGCCAATCCGGGACCTCGTGTTTTCCGCGCGTTTTGAGGGTCCCGCGCGGAAGAGACGCGCAAAAAGTACAATTTACTGCCCGGATGGCACTCCGGGAATTGAGCGTGTTGTGGGGGGAGGACCACACACGCCGAGATCACACTTCTAGGAGAGACACCTTTTTTTAAGGATTTCGAGAATATCGGCCTCGAGTATGGTCGAAAAATGGCAAGTACCATTTTCCACGGAACCTAGTCAGAAAAAATCAGTATAATTATCGCTAAAAGTTACTAGACATGCGACACAATTACCTTAATTTGATTTTTTGCCATTTTCTTCCTCCAGTTTCTATTTTTTGCAGCTCCTTTCTCTCACCCACTCTTGCTCCCGCTCTCTCTCTCTGTCTCATTTCTCTCTCGCACGCTTTCTCTCTCTCTCGCTCTCACTCGCTCTAGTCAGATTTCGAGTCGCGGTTTTATTTCGATGCAATTCAACAGCATTTTAGCAAAATCTCCAGCCTTTATGCGCTTTTAGAGCTATTCTAGCGCAGATTACGGTACCTACCATCGCTTTGCAATGGTAGGTACCGTAACCTGCGCTAGAACCCGCACGTGAAAAAACGTACCGTATCCATCCCCAAAGCGCAACCGAGATTTTCAATCACACAACCCCAAGCGAGATCCAGAATTCATGCCAGACCCCGAAAAACATTCGGCTGGATGGCGGTGCCTGAAGTGTCGCTTTTCCGTCTCTTTCCTCCGGACGGAGCCCCGAAGAGATTTATCGCCGGAGGACATATGGATATTCGAGCCACACATACGCATGCGGGAAACAGCAATCTGATCTAATCCGGAGGGAGGAGACTGAGGAAGGTCAATTTCACCTCGCAATCACCATCTTGCGCGGGGGCTGACCCCAACAATTAAAAGAACATGGCTGCGGGGGCAATTGGCCTTGATTCTGGAGCGGGGGCCGATAGACAGATCAAAAAGTGTCACGTCGAAAGTGAAGGCAATGGTCTGGCGGACTAAAAAGTACCGATACGGTAGGAAGGCTACGGTAAGCAGGGGGGAAGGATGCTCTAATTCACTCCTTTTTGCACTGCCACCATTCTGATGGCTGTCAAGTTACGGTAAGTTTTTTTAAGGGGCTAGGGCACGCGAATCGATTTACAAAGTGCAGTTTCCGGGCGGTGTCCAGCGAAGCAAAACGTACCGATCGGTAAACAGCCGAAATTGTCGGCATCAAAATTTTTTCATCATTTTCTTTTCATCATCTTTTTCTGGGAGTCATTTGTCGCTTACCGTAACGAACCGTAGCGCAGAATCTGACTGCCAGCATACCAAACCCAGAAATACCGTTTCGGGGTTTCTTCGCAGCATACCGTATCTAAAAAAGACCCCAAAAACCGATTGCATAAGCCAAAATACCACCACACTAGATACGCGATATTGGAAACTTTTTTGCATAATTTTTGCCGTCTTGGTGTCGGCAACGAGGCCTGTCGCGGATTGGATACCGGCAGTTTTGATGTTTGCGTTTTAGAGTGGAATGGAAAGATTAGCTTGGCGAGATAGACGGGGTTGTCGGTATTTTTGCTATGAACATTCTAAATCTCGGGGATTTTGGTTGTCGGCATTTTAAACCGCCGGAAGTTAGACATGTCGGGATTCTCGAATAGCAACAATTTCGATTGTCGGGATGTTGCTTGGTCTCTCTTTTCGATATAGGTAATTCAGTTCGTTGTCCACTTCTAGCCGGCAATTACGGAAAGTCGGTCTTTTCGCTTGTCGATAGTTTAATGGTAAAGGTTTGCCTTGTCGGGATTTTCAAGATCACCAATCTCGCTTGTCGTTATTATGGCTCAAATTCTGTAGCAATGCCCTTTAGTCAAGTTCCACGAAGTTCCGGGTGTCCTGTGTTGCATACCGTACCCCCTTCCGCTCTCTCTCTCCGGTTTCCCCCAGCTTCTCCTCTGCCCCCTTCCCCCCCCCCCATGCCGGCTCGGAGATCCGCCTTGTCCTAGATGTTGCTCCGCAATTTTTTCGCGCCAAGTTGATCCGCGGGTATGGCAAGACTCAGCTCACAAAAAAGAGCAACGAATGGCTAGCCCTCCTCCTCTCCGCCCCTGAGGACAAAAAAGCTGAAACAAATGAGGGTGCGGCGCGAGAGTGGGAGGGACCAGAGAGAGGCGAGAGATAACGAGGCCTCATCCTCCCCCAGATATATAATGGGAGGTCGGTCTGGGGATCGAGCTTTTGATCTCCGCACTAGCTGAAGCCTTCAAAATGGTCCCCCAGCGGACCCGGGTCCTGCGGCCTATATTATTTGCTGTGCTATTTTATGCCTTTTCCGTGCGGCATGCTGATGGTGGGTCAGATCTTAATTTTATTCTGATGTTCTGCCGTTTTTGGTAAGACTCTAGTTTACCCCCCGCCCAGCCCTAACTTTTCAGCCATACGTCCTATTAATGCGTCGAGTATCTCAAAATGTTTGCCGTGGTCGAGTTACTATAAAAAAGTTGTTTTCTTGCGGCAAAAATTGCTAGACATTTTTTTACAAGATTTTGAAAGTTTGAAAAGATTAAGCCGCTATGCTTTAATGTACCAGGAGTCTAAAACTCAAATATTTTTATTTTCCGCTATTTTTTTGACTCAAACGTACTGTCGGCTTATTCTACAAAGCAAGGGCTACATTTTGGTACTATTGACAGCTCTGTACGTCAAAGATAGCCGAGATACGAAAACTCATTTTGGGAGCAGCAAAAATTAACTAAAGAGAACCCAGACTTATAATTGTTATAAAAATTTTTCTAACGATTTTGGATGTAAGGAAACAACTTTTTTATAGTAATTCGACCACGGGGAACATTTTGAGATGCTCGGCGCATTAATAGGACGTATGGCTGAAAAGTTACGGCTGGGGGGGGGCGGGGTAAACTAGCTTCTTACCAAAACCGGCAGAAGTCTTACCACTTCTCTGTCACGTTTAAACACAACGATTAGGTTTCACGAGCATTTCCTGAAAAAAACATGGGTAAATTCAAGAGCTGATAGGCGAAAATCGTGATCCAAATTTTCCTCGCATTCCAGGGAGCTAGATTCCATTTATCAAGTCCTAAAATTCTCGTGAAGCCTCTAGAAAATCCTTGTTCTCGCCATCGAGTTAGTTGTCAGAGCAACTAGTCATACTCCTTAGCATGCCGTTCTTCTCAATGCCGTAATTTTGAGAAATCACTGAAAACATTTTTGCCAAAATTTTGGACCAGGACTGGTATTACAGGTAATCTCCAATCCCATACATCTTCCTCTCAGTCAATCTCCTCTCTCTCTCTCTCTCTCTCTCTCTCTCTCTCTCGCTCTCTCTCTTTCTTTTAGAGACCTAAGAAGACGCTAATTGTCAATTCCCATTGTCGTTCACCACTTTCAGCTGTCTCCAGCGCCCCCAGCAAGGTCAAAGTGGGCCCGCACAGTTTCGATGACATCAAGCTCGACAAGAAGGGTATTGATGAGGTCTGGGAAATCCTGGTTTTGCTCGATTTCTAGTTGGTCTCTTTTCAAACCGATCTTTTAGTGAAATAAGCCTAAAAAATGAACGACTCAGATTAACTCAAATTTTCATTGCCGCGATTTAGACCCAAATCATCCACCAGAATTGGATCTTCTACGCGATCAAGGCGATGCTCGGCCAGATGGGCAAGGATTTGCTACCAAAACTCGGACGCCGTAAGTAGGCCAAACGAGGTACGGTAACTCAAGCTCTTTTCAGAAGACAAGCTCACCTTTCTACGGTGTTTGAGCCGGATAAAGGAGCGGACGGATTTGGTGGCGGCTAGCAGGTCTCAAATTTTTATGTTTTTTTTGGTCCCCAAAGGGCCTAGAAAGCGGGAGGATCGACTTCTACCATTAGCTAGATCTAGATAGTTACAAACAAACCAAAACACAGTTTTTTCAGATGCCTCATCGCCGCCAAGGAGGCCCACGAGGCGATGCGCAAGAAGTACAAAACGTACAACGAATATATGGTACGGAAATCGCAAGAGGACCTCAGAAGCAGCACCGAGGTCGAGCTCGGCAACAAGGCGCAAAGAGCGTTTGGGGCGTTTATCCAGGACAACAGCCACCTCCCAACGACCCCAAGGCCAAACCCCTTCGTGACGGCGGCGACAGTAACGACTCCAGCGAGTACGATAAGTACAACCACTGGTACCACTACGACAGCGACAACGACAACTCGACCACAACTTCGACAAGTTCAACTGCGAAGAAATTTCAAGTCTTCTGAGCGATTCGGCAGCTTGAAGAAAAAGTGGGTTTCGTAACTGGATTACAATTCTGATTTAGGTACCAAAAATGGAACAACTCCTTCAGGGTGCTGAAGAGCAGCGAGGTGGGTAGGGAAAGAGATAGAGAGAGAGCGAGAGAGTGAGAGAGAGTGAGAGAGAGCGGGAGAGAGATAGAGAGAGCGAGAGAGTGAGAGAGAGCGGGAGAGAGATAGTGAGAGAGCGAGAGAGTGAGAGAGGTGAAGAGGCGGGAGAGAGATAGAGAGAGCGAGAGAGTGAGAGAGAGCGGGAGAGAGATAGCGAGAGAGCGAGAGAGTGAAAGAGAGCGGGAGAGAGATAGAAAGAGAGCGAGAGAGTGAGAGAGAGAGCAGGAAAGAGATAGAGAGAGAGCGAGAGCGAGAGAGCGAAATGATCCTGTTCAGATGCCTTTCAAGAGCCCTCTGCGCTCTAAATCGATAAACTACGACATTCTGAGATCCTATCGTCATCACCGGAAGCTGAGGAGGTTGAGAATGATGGATTCTGGAGAGGTAGACTCTTGCTCATCGTATCTCTGGATGAAAACACCAAGAGCTAAGAGTTCGCATATTTTCGGCGATTACCCTGATGTCCCAATCCCTTTACTTTCAGCCGCGACGCCGCCTTCGAGTACGTCGCGTCAAGCGCTCCCCGCATCGATTGATCGCCGACATGGTGCAGAAGAGTGACGCGAAAAAGTTTGAGGTAAGAGAAAGAGAGACAGAGAGAGCGAGAGAGAGAGCGAGTGGGTGAGAGAGCGAGGGAGAGAGAGAGAGAGAGAGAGAGAGAGAGGACGAGAGAGGGAGAAAACGATATAGAGAGAGACAGAAAGAGAGAGGAAGAGAGAGACAGAGAGAGCGACAGAGACAGCGGGAGAGAGAGAACGGGATGAAATTCAATAATTTTAGGTAAAATCTATGGCCAAAATGCCTGCCTTACTGCAAGAAAAGAAGAGCCCCGTCCAGTCGATCGCACGCCAGATTATGAAAGCTGTGAGGGGGGAAAATGGGACTGATTCGGCACCTGGTAGGTTTTTACACTTGCTTTGAGCTTTCGAGCTTGAATTTGATGAAATTTGTAAAATTTGGTAGTAATTAACCAAAAGAAAAGGTATTTTCGGTTGTTTAAACGGACGAAAAGCATACAAAAATTGAAAACATACGATGTTTCAATGCCGAGATGGTTTTACTTGTTCTAGTTTTCCATGTAAAGAACCAGAAAAATGCACGATAATTTTCTGCATCGATTCATGTAGCTTTGAAGCGATTTTAAGCATTCGGAAAGTCCGAAGTGCGTAAAACTGCGTGAGCTACGTTATAATCCTCTTCACGCCCTATTTCAGGCACCTGGACGCAGAGCTACCAAAATCTGCTGAGACTCAAGAAGCAGCTCGACAAACAGGCCAAAGAGCCCGGCGCAAAAGTGTACGATTTGAGGATGTACGATCTGGTGCAGGGCCGAGACACGCCGTCGGAGGATATTTGGGAGAGGGTAGGGAGGCTCGAATGGCCCCTTAAAACGTTTCGATTTAGTCAAAGCAGCCCGGCTTCTTGCAAGAAGCCTACGGTCTGATCGCCCGCATCAATGCGCAGGGAGATAGTCATAATCAGAAGTTTTTGTCGCCAAGGTTAGTGATTTTTGCTGATAGCTTCTCTCACTCTCTCCCTATCTCTTTCTGCCATTACCACACTCTCTCGTTCTCCCTCTCTCTATCTGTCTATCTCTCGCCCGCTTTCTCGATATATCGCTCGTCCTCCAGATCTCTCTCTTTCTCTCTCTCTCTCTCTCTCTCTCTCTCTCTCTCTCTCTCTCTCTCTGTCTCTCTCCCTTGACATTACCGGCAAGTCCAGTATTTCCAGATTCGCTTCCATCATGCCTGACAAATACGGTGATTCGGACAAAAAGGCCCTCTCCCCATCCATCCTCTCATTTTATCGAGATGACGCTGAGGATCAAATTCTACCATTGCCAAAGGTATACTGTATTCTGGGGCGCAGCTTAGGACGCAGCTTTAGTTGCTCGAAGACAGCGGACTGAAAGATAAGGATCGGGACGCCATGCTCGAAGTTGTGATGGAAGTCTCGGGAGCACGAGGGATGGTAGATACTGCGATGAAGGTGAGGGCGAGAGAGAGAGAGAGAGCGAGAGAGAGAGAGAGGGAGAGAGAGAGCGCGAGAGAGTGAGAGGGAGAGAGGGGCATAGGGAGGACAGAAAGAGAGCAGGAGAGAGAGAGATAGCGATGTGGAGAGCCAGAGAAAGGAGCCTGAATAGCATCGAGTGAGCATGAGCATGAAAGTCATCGAAACAGTCTCCTCTATGCAATTTCCAGACGATGAAAAGCATGCACATGTTCGGCCTTGACGAAGAGTTCAAGGACGTCACCGACAAGATTCAGGACATCTTCAAGGCGCTGACCGGAAGCTTTACGGGGTAATTTTTTTTGGATCACGTTTAATTAGTGCGATGTCTTATGTATTTTTACATATGCGATAATTTTATTTGTATTACGATGTTCCAAAATTCAGACGCCAGAAAAAGGAGATGAAACGCCGCGGCTACACATTTGCACACCCTGAACAGCTCGAGAAATTTCACGAAGCGCAAGGTTAGTGGATTGATAACGGAAGCGTAGCCTAGCGTAATCATAAAATGAATTTTTAGGAATAAAGGACCGAGAGCACGGCTTTAACTACGACACCTACAAACGATTGTCTCGAAAACAACGTGAAGAGGCTTTGTGGCTACGCGTTAGACAGATTGCACGGAATGTTAGCCATCCGGTGAGTAAAAAAAATGTATGTCATTTAGGAGCGGCGGCAAGGCACCGTATTTTATTCAGTGTTTAATAACAAGGAGTGCTTTTTTTGAGTCATTTGCAAAACCTTACGAGACCTAGCTCATTCGATAGAGAATTCGATTCTGAACAAAACCCCGTTGTTCTTTTTTACAGAATGGCTATCCCTGATTTTATAAAATTGTAAAACTGCACCCAAAAGTCTATCTTTTGGCTCGAAAGGCACTCATGGTAAGGGACGGTCACTAGTATTTTAATTTTATAAAATCATGGATAGCGATTCTGCAAAAAAGAACAACGGGGTTTTGTTCAGAATCGAATTCTCTATCGAATGAGCTAGGTCTCGTCAGGTTTTGCCGATGACTCAAAAAAAGCACTCCTTGTAAGTTTAAAGACACGCTGTTGCGCATTACGGAGCGCTACGCGACGCTACGAAAAAATACCCGGTGTACAGTACGGAGGGCTGCGCTAGGCTATCAAAACATAGGCCCAACCACACTACGCGACGCCATGCGCCGCCACAAAAGTATACGCTATTTCAAAGTACGTCACGCTCCGATACATTGAGCGTCGTGTTAGCCCCCGTCATAACGTTCATTTTCAGGTAGATGAGCCGTTGATGAAGCGTGGTCCGAACGGGACGTGGCTCGAAAACCATCGGAGAGTGAAGCGTGGTCACTATCTAGGTGGATGGCTGCATGTTCTCGAGCCGACCGTCCTCGCCCCGTTCGCTTTTACACCCTCAATTGGCGCTGGAATCCTCGGACCGCTCGTCTTCTCTCCTGGTCTTTTCAAGTAAGTTTTTGGCGTTTCCGGAAGGAAAAAATCGCAAATAAACTGAAAATCAAAAAATAAAAGAAAAGAAAATCGAAAAATCGCTACAAATATCGAAAAAAAATTCGCTACAAAATCGTTATTAGGAGAATTTAAATTTTTCTATTGAATTAAGCACACTCTGTACTTTATAAATTTGTGCTTATAGCCAATTTTTTAGTAAAAATGTTTCTGCCCTATTTTTTGCTATTATTAAACGCAAAAACGCAAAAACACCGATTTTTCGACCAAACTTTCGAATTTTAAAAATTTTACAGTTTTTAAGATAGATTTTCCCGTTGAAATCTAGTTCTATTTTACGAAAAACATTAATAGGAAAGCCCCCCGATAATGCAAAAGTGCCAAATACACTTTTAGTAATGGGTTTAATTCCTAGTCCAACCTTGCTCCTTGCCTTCTAAAATTTGGTAATTATGGAGCCGTAAATTGCTATGTAAAATTTGACTGCATGAATAATATTAAATTAAGTAGTATTTTGACGGTTTAAAGGAATTTATGTCAGCTTAAAGGGCTAGTTCAGCCCATAAAACAAAAGAATTTCCGCGACCAGGACTCGAACCCTCTCTGGGTTTTTGTGTCTGCACCCGGCTCATTTCCCCGATCTCTAATAGCTGTCGTAATGGGGGATTGTTAGGGCGCACTGTGCCTACGTCCATAGTTTCCCAAGGTACCCGCCCAAGCTCTAAAAGTTGAACTAGCCCTTTAAGTGCAGTTCCCCCCAGCTGGCACCCACCTACCGTATCTCGGCTCCCTGTTCATCTACAGGTGTGTAAAGGATACCAAAATACTCGCCTGAGCAAGACGAACGTTTTGGTATACTTTACACACCTGTAGATGAAGGGAGCCGAGATACCAAAGTTGGGTGGCGGCTGGGGGAAAGCACCCTAACCTTGAAGTCTTGTTAAAAATTAAAAACGCAAAAAAATCGTGCAAATCCCCTTTTTCCAGCCCGGTCATCTTCAACCCGTCGATCGCGTCGCCCATGATCATGTCCCCGGGTATCGGCTACCCGTTCATCCTCTCCCCCTACATTTTCTCCTCCCAAATCATGAGCCCCCTCATCTGGGCCCCCTATATTTTGACACCCTATCTATTGGGGCCCAACATCATTACCCCGTATTTGATGTCGCCTGTCATTTTGTCCCCGATGTTTCTATCGCCTGATCTCGTTTCGCCGATGGCACTCGGTGGAGCCGTACTTTCGCCCACTATGCTCTCGCCGGCCGTGTTTTCCCCATCCGTTTTCATGGTTAGCATCATGTCACCGTCGTTTTTGAGCTGAACTGCTTGAACTTGTTGCTCTTTCTCACTCTTGCTCTGTCTCTCTCACTCTCCCTCGTGCTCATTCACTCTCTTTCTCCCTCTATAGCTGTCTTCTCTATATTTTTTATCTTTTTCTATCTCTCTTTCTCTCTTTTGTTCTGCCTCTCTAGTTCTCTCGCTCTCTCTCTCTCGCTCTCTCTCTCTCTCTTTCTCTCTCTTTCTCTATAAGTTTATCTTCATCTCTCACTCTTAATCTCTCGTAATCTCTCTCTGTCTCTCTCGCTCTTGTTTCTCTCTCTCTTTCTCTCTCTCTTGTCCTCTCTCTTTCTCTTTCTCTCTATCTCTCTCTCTGTCTCTCTCTCTCTCGCTCTCTAGCCTCTTCTTGACCCAAACATGAAAAGCAACGTTTAATAATCTGCACTTTTTTTCAAACCATCGTTTAGTTATAAATTTAATAAGTATCCAGATCTAACCCAGTCTTTCACTGATTTTTCTGACGCAATGTCACCAATCTCCGGGTACTTCTGCCATATGGATAAATTTTCAATTACGGTCGCTCGAGAAGAGAAGCTATAAGAACGCCCAACCACATCATTGCATGAAACCGTAGCCAGAGTATGGGCATGAGTCAGGATCCCATCAGTATCCCAATCAAGCTCTACAAACATGACCTTAGCCAGATGGCATTGTAGCTGGTCCTGAAGATTTTTTGAAGCCTTCGGATGACGCTTCATTGGGTCGCTATGTTGTCCAGCTTCAAGCTACGATGAAGCCGGCTGCTGACATCAGCAGATGTTTATCGTAGGATATGACGTCATTTAAAGTCCTACGTCCTCTGGATTCCTCGCGACGCCGTCGTGTTCCGTGACAGCTTCACCGTACTTCCGGAAACGTGAATCACCAAGAATGGTACCCAAAAGATTTTAAATTCCGGAAAAAAGCCAACCATCGCCAACGTATCTGGAGCATCCTGGATCAAATCGTTTCAAGGTCCGTAAAAGTGCCAGCTAGGGAAACCCGTACTTCGCGATTCTATCGACGTCTTTGATAGATGATGACGTCCACGCTTTTGGCCCTTTTCGCCAGAATCAAGATCTGCCAACCTTTGATAGTCATGACGCCTTGCAAGATCCTGAAATTTTGCACGGACGTCATCGCCCCCAGTCTAAAATCTGAACTTCAGCTTCATTTATGGATCCGAGTCACCTCTTCCAAAAAAAGCATAAATTGAGGGGATGAGTCAACGTGTTTGCTAGCCGGGCCCACACCCATTTCATGCCCAGTTATCACCTTTCGGCCTTAAAAAGGACCGCCGTCTGGGCAACACCGCACTTTCGATCTTCCCAGCTTCACCAAGCATGATTTGGCCCGTTTTTGCTGTTCTGCTGGCTGCAGGTATCTGAGCATTAAATTATAGCTTAAAATGCTTTTATATTATGTAAAATGTATAAAAACACCACCGTTTAATTTAAAAAAAAGTTTTAATTTTTTAAGTTCAAAATTTTTTTCGACACCAAGTTTTTGCTAAGAATTATTTTCAATTTAATTTAATTGAGTCTCAGGTAGATAAAGCCGTGCGAGTAAATAAATGTAAGGTTAGTTAGCTTAAACTATTCTAAATTAACAATAAGAAAGAACGGTCCCTTCTAGCAAACGCCGCCGACCCGATCACCTACCAGACCGACGTCACCCCCGATAACGCTGGGTTCTATGGGGTAGAGGGGGCAGGTAAGAGACATTTATGTTTAATAACCAAATATAAGAAAAAAACTGCTTAATTTTTTGCAGTATTAGAAACACCTTGCTTAATTTTTTGCAGTATTAGAAACACCTTGCTCAATTTCCGGAGCGAAATGAGAAAAACGAAAGAGGAACGAGCTCTGAATTGTCCTAAGTTTTAAAATTTTATTCTCGAAAATCTTAACTAACCGAAAGCGGGCTATGAAATATGGTATTTTAATGGCGTTTAACAGATTGTTGAGCAATATTTTAGCATTGAACAGTGCAGAAGCCTCGAAAAAACTTCATATCCTATCCTATAAGCGAGAAAAGTATGTTTGTTTTCTGTACGGCCGTTTTCTCGGCCGTCAGGCCGAATTTCGAGCTGATTTTTGGCATGGGGGTGGGAAATGCCATTTATAAAAAACGGTTTTTTGGATTTTTCGAAATTCTTTGATTTTACGATTTTACAAACAAAAATGTGAAAAATCCTTAACATTTTTGGGTGCGCACGTTGTCCGGAACTTTTCTCTGCCCCTAGAGGGAATTGGGGCCTCATTTTTGGAGGGTAGATGGGAAAAGTAATTCCCCAGATACAATTTTTCGGATTTTGCAAAAAACTTTAAGATAAAGTTTTTATAAGGATTTTTCTGCAAGGTCCTTAATAAATCGCGGAAAGGGCCGTGGTGTCCGGGCCATAACTCGAAGCCCTGATGGAATTCCGGGCTGAAATTTGGACCGTTTATGCAATCAAGGGTGGGGATCACGCGCATCTTATTATCTTTGCAAATTTTCGACAGGTTCAGGCTCAAAAATCGAATTTTGTCAAGTGACCAGAAGGCCTCCCTCCGGAAGGTTTGTCACCCTTATCTTTGCCCGCGTCCCCCCAGGAGAGAACAGGGCTTTCCCGCCGCACCTTCCCATGTGCCCCTTAGTGTGGTGGATTAGCGCTTGGTCTACCACGCGCAAGGTCGCGGGTTCGGATCCTGGGAGAATTTCTTTTTTGCTTTTTGGTTGTTCGGCAACAAAGCATATTTCTAGGCTCACGGTGTGCGGGGGTTAGGCCTGGCCATCGCTACAGCGCCGCAGGCCAAAGAAAAGGCCCCTGGCTTGGGCTCTCGCGCCGCAGGCTAATGATGGGTGCTCGACCCGGGCTCTAGCGCCGCAGGCCAAATCCTGGAGGAAAACCAGTAACTAGCGCCGCAGGCTCAAAGATTTTAGCGCAACGCTGGATCTGGCGCCTCAGGCTAAAAAAAAAGATCTCCCCTTTGGTGTAGCGGATCAGGGCAGGGGCTGTGGCGTTGAGGGTCGCGGGGCGGACCCGCGAGAAATTTAGGTTTTTGCTTTTTGGTAGTTCAGCAACTAAACCCATTTCTAGGATCACCGAGTGCGCGATTTAGGCCTGACTTTCGCTCTAGCGCCGCAGGCTAATGACAGGTCTTTGATCTAGGCTCTTGCGCCGCAGGCCAAATCCGGGAGAAAAACCAGTAACTCGCGCCGCAGGCAAAAAGAGGCTTGGCCTTCGCTCTAGCGCCGCAGGCCTAAGAAAAGGCCCTTGGTCCAGGCTCTCGCGCCGCAGGCCAAAGAACAGATCCTTGGCTCGTGCTCTCGCGCCGCAAGCAAGATCCTGGAGAAAAACCAGTAACGATTCTAGCGGCAAGCTGGCTCTCCTTGACTCAGGTGCAAGCGCCGCAGGCTAAAAAAGAAGGTATTCAAATTCATGGTTCCGGGACTGGGTCCAGTGGAAATGGCCGCGAAGCGGTCTTTTTTCCACTGGTTTTTCTAATTTGACAATTTCCTATCCTATAATCAAGAAAAGTATGTCTGTTTTCTGTACAGCCAATTTCTCGGCCGTCAGGCCGAATTTCGAGCTGGTTATAGAAATAAGCGCGATTTTCACAGCTTCAACTATACGGCTTTTTGTGTAAAAAGTAGTAAAAATTGATTGTACTAAACGTATTAAATGTTTTTACAGGCGACGTAGCAAGCCTTGCCACATTCACCGCCAAGCAGACGACGGCTCTGGGCGCGCAGATGGACTGCCACGCGCTATACGTTAACGTGGGTTTGGAAAAAAATCAAATTAATTATTTTTCTAAACTTGTGTACTTTTTCGCTGCAGTAATGTACATTTTAAACTATTCGTTTTTCGTTATTCGTTATTTCGTTTCGTTTCGTTATTCGTTACTAGACGATATTCCCCGGCAATCTAGCGTTTTTCAGACATCCGGCTGCTCCATCGACATGTACCTTGGAATAGAGCTGCCCGCTGATGCGAACAAGGAGAAGAACTTGTTATTATCTTTTACGTAAGCATTACCATTTTTACAATAACCTAAAAACTACAGTCGCGACAACTACGCCGGCTACAAAACCAGCCGCGTCCGCGCCCCGGCCGTCACTTTCTATTTTCCGCCCCGTTGCGAGGGCAAGGTGGCGTGCTACGGGCAAAATTGTAAGTCGTTCCCAATTCAAATAATGTTGTTAATTTTCAGGCGCTTTTGCATTATCGGTGGGGGGGTGTCCAAGTCCAATAACTGCTAGTAACATAATAAAAAATCGTTTAGTAGAGTTTTTAGGAACAGTAAAACTATATTTCAAATGAAAATCTACGTCAAGTTTTTTTAAAATGTTAAAAAATTTCGGTATTTTTGTCGATTTTTTCTACTTTTCCAAAACTTTGTAAAGTTTTTAGTTTAGTAATACGAAAAACATTTTCAGCTTCCATATTTATGCTAGAAAATGGGTACTAATGTAAAAATTGGTTTTCTCGGCAATCCACCCCCGATAACGCAAAAGTACCCGCTTATCTTTTGTTTAGTGATCAAAGACGTGTACCTCGACGAGAATTCGATGGGTTTCTTCATGTTCCCCGCCGGCGCCTACCCGTCCACTTACACGGCTGCCTACACATGGACGAGTAAGTTTAAGGAGTCATTTATAGTTCTTGGCAGTAACAAGGCTTATTCTTTTTAGAATTTCTATACAATTAAAAGTACCCATAACCGGTATGAAAATTAAATTTTTACTACTATACAAAATTATGCGAACAAAATTCGAATTCCGATTTCAGGCGCCGCGAAAGTCAGCATTGAAGTGGTGTGGGCCGAGCCGGGCTCCTCGGGAAACTTGACAGTCAAGGCGGGCGCGGAAACTAAAGTGTAAGCCCATAAATTTAAGCATAGGCATTGGAAACAGCGTATTTTGAAGTAAAAACTTTATAATTGCATCAAATACACAAAATATATCGATTTTTGGAGTAAAATGTCCGGCTTTCGGCAAAAATTCAGAATTTTTCGATGTTTTTCACTACTTCAACTACGCTTAAATTTTACTAAGAATGCTATTAAAATTTGTATTATTAAAATCCATACATGAAATTCATAATATTCCGTTACTGAGCCTATAAATTCATCTTTCAGCTTCACCCAAAAAACGGCCAACTCCGGAAAGGTACAGGGTGTCGGCAATGGGCTGGAGGTGAGCGTTTGGTTTCAAATAAAGTTTACAAGATTGTATAAATTAAACGGACTGTACTTAATGAGAAATTTAACCCCCCGCCCGATATTGCCAAAGCACCACAACTCCATTTAGGTGGACTGGTGCCCATCCGACGATTCGAAGAGCGGCTTCCTGGCCCGCTACTTCACCGGCTACGAGCAGCCGCAGCCGGAAGCCACCACCAAATCGGCAATGACCCTCGCCGGATCCCTTCTAATTCCACTTCTGACTCTTCGCTATTTTTAAACCATCGATCGATATCCTGGTGCTAATAACCGTTTTTTACCAAATACGGGTAGATGAATGCTTCTCACGTTTTCTCGTCGTCTACGTTTCCTGAATTGATGCTTCTGCATTAACGGGGGGGGATTTTGCTTTACTTTCTTTAAACGTAAAAACGTTTAAAAAATTGTTGCCTGCTGACCAGGGTTGGTCACAATGATCGGGGTCCGCGTCCGTCCGCGTCCGGACGCGGACGGACGCGTCCGCTATGCAAATTACGGACGCGGACGGACGGGTCCGGACGCGGACGGACGCGTCCGGACGCGGACGCAACGGACGCTACAGAGTCCGCCGGACGCCGGAAGGTCCGCGATGCAAAGCACAAAAGCGGATGCTAATTAAAGGTGTCCCTGGTTTAGGAAAGCGTAGTATCATAATCTGACTTGCATCCTTGACGTTGACTTAGAATAAAACACAAAAATTACTGTCACTGTCCAAGGGAAAGCGCCAAAAAAGTTTGAGCAAACGAAAAGCTTTGAGATTTTAGTGCAATGTTCCATTGTTCTTGAGGTTTAGTACTAGTTTCTTCGTTTCCGACTTGCTTTTGTGTGACTATTTGGACAACTGAGAATTATTTTTTGTCATGATCCAAGTCAACACGAATATTCAAATTAGGTCTGTGGTGATGCGCCTTCCTAAGCCGCAGTCTATTGAATTAACATGGTGATCTGCAATTTGATCGCGGACCTTCCGGGTCCGGCGGACGCTAGCGCCGCTGGTCGCGTCCGGACGCGTCCGTCAGGTCCGGACGCGTCCGTCCGCGTCCGCAATTTGCATACGGGTCCGGACGCGTCCGTCCGCGGACGGACCGGACGGACTTTCGATTATCATGACCAACCCTGCTGCTGACAATATAAAAACCGCCCCCCCGGATAAAGCGAAAGCTCCCCTAAATTGCTATCGAATAATCTTTTCGCTTCGACACATAAAGCTTCTACTTCTACAATTCCTCTGCAAAAATTTATAACCTTACAACGCACACGAAAAAACTAAGACACAGAAATACCACACACAAAAAAGGGCGCAACAAAAACGAATTCGAATAGAATCACAAATCGAGTGTCATGTCGTGCAAAAAATCCAGAAAAAATGGGGGTGCGTAGCGCCGGGCGGCTAGTAGAAACTCGCCTGGAAGCGCGACGTCAGAATGCAGTCGATCAGCCAATTCGGGGTGATCTGAAAAAACGAGAAATTTTTGGGTTCTCTGGCATTATGGGGGGGGGACATTTTTCCATTTATCCCGTAAATCAAATCAAAGCTGTCCAATTTTTGAATAGAAATAAAGGACGCGCTTCCATTCCATCCGATTTTTACTGTTTCTAAATGCTTACACCTTATAAAAATTGAAGATTAAGCTTTTTACTTTTTTGATTGTATTTTAGGTTGATTAAAATTGGATGGCTAACATGTAAAAACGGCCGATTTTCCGCAAAATCAAAATTCAAACATTATTTGAAGTCTGAAAGCCTCGAAATTGACAACTTTTGACAAATTTCCATTTAAAATAATAACAACAGCATAAAGGCTATAAAAAGCGATGCTAAAAAAAAAGCTGAAACCCCCCGATAGGCAAAGAACGATTTTTGATTAATGTGAGTCAGGCGGGAGTTTAGATTTATCAGTAGAAACTTGACTCACTTCATCCCAAAACAAAAACACAAAAATTGAGCCACTGACCAGCGTGAGGTGCTTCTTGTTGGGCAGCGTGGCGAGGATCGGGTTGTCGACGTCGGCCGGGCAGGCCACGACGAAGCACGGGGACCTGAAGCGAAATAATATAAAAAATACGAACTTGAATTACCCCCGATTCGTGTCGTAGAATGGCGACGGGTCGCTTGACGAGTGGATCGGCTCCCGGTTGACCACCTGAAAAAATATCGTAAATTTTCATAAATTCCCTACCTCTCCGTCGGCATTCTGAACAATTTGGCGGAGCCATGCTCGCTCGTGCCCGCGATACTTGGCCGAGATGAAGAAGAAGCGCGCGCCCACGAATATTCCGGGTTTCTAAAGAATTTAACTATTTAAAAACTAGATAAATTACCAATAGCATTTTTCTTCGCCGCGTCACCCGCGCCGTGCCGTCGGTCCCAGAAATTGGGGTGCCGTCGCGCAGGATTTTTTGAATCTGGAAAGACGGTTGTTCCCTTTTCTAAAATCCCTAAAAAATCCATAACAGATCGATTTCATCATAAATACTCGATTTCCGGCCCAAAATACTCTTTTTTTTAATTTCCACGTTTTCTCATAATTTTCTAAAAAAAAATACATACCTCATACTGGCCCTCATTCGGGGGAATCGTCCGCTGGCGGATGCAGTCCGACACGAACCTCGAGCCGACGATGCGCAGACCCCGCGAGATGGCCTCGATCAACAGCGGCGTGCACTCCACCGAGCCGTCCGGCCCGACGCCGGCGAGTACGATGTGCGTCGACAGGTCGCTCATGGTTTCCGATACCGACTAAACGATAGATCTAGCAAACGTACTTCTAATCCCAACCTCAAACAGCGCCATTGTGTCCAGCTTCACGTAGAGTCCGGCTTCGAGCCCTTGACTTGGCGGGATGCAGATATGGCGGCGTTTTGGGTAGATTTCTAAGAAAACTATTTTTTACAGAACCACCGAAAAACCTTTAGAAACTCGATGCGGGCGGCTGACGTCGAAGGCTTGTTCAATCTGCTCGGCCACGGGCAATGGCAGTGACTTGGCGGCTTCGAGAGGTGAAATTTTTCGCAGGTCAAGCGCGTCCTTGTTCGCACCCTAAAAAAGATATGTAAGAAAAGCGAGAGACAGAGAGAGAGAGCGAGAGAGAGAGAGAGAGAGAGAGAGACAGAGAGTGAGAGTCAAAATCTCCGGTAAGTTGCAAAACCTACATGTGACAAAAGTATTCGCACCGTCTCGATGGAGCCGCCTCGGACAGCGGCGTGCAGTGGCGTTTCACACTCTTTCGTGCCTGAAAAGGAGAAATTGAGCAAGTATCCACTCCTAATTCTTAGTAAAAATAAAATGTTATAAAAGTTAATTTATAGCCTTAAAGACACAATTTTACATAGCTGAAGCCTTACAATGCGCATTGACGATGGCGCCCGCCTGGATGAGAACTCGAGCGATTTCGTAAAGCCCGGCCCGGGCGGCGAGAAACAGCGGAGTGCAGCCCTCTTGTGGGTCTCGCTCGTTGACCTCGGCCTCATTCTAAAGTGAAAATATAGGATCTTTTTTCGTTATATAATGTGCGTTAATTTATTATAATTTTTGTAAAAATAATGAAAAAGAGATAAAGAGAGATCGATCGATAGAGAAGAGATAAGATCGATAAAATGATTTCCAAATTCCAATTTTCAAAAAATAAATTACGGACGTCGAATTTTCGACAAATTAAACTTCGATATTTTGAAATCTTTTTGAAGCTTTTTGAAAAAGTGAAAATAAGCCAGTAATAAATATATCTATCCCTCACCGCCACCAATTCCCGGACCCTCGCCAAGTCCGCGGCCAGCACGGCGTTGACCACGTTCATCTCGCCGCGGCGCAGCACATTGGGGAGGCGGGCGGGCGGTCGTTTTCGAGGGGCTCTTCCGGGATCACTAAAATAAAAGTTTAAAAAACTTCGAATTTAAACCATGAAGATGCACGCAGACGAGCCGCCGCCTCCTTGTACGTGGTCGACGTTTCGACGGGGCAATCTTCAAAGCAGGCGGCGGCGGGTGCGGGGCTCCTTGGCGGTCTACGGCGCTTCGGCGACGGCTCGGGGACGAATTCTTTCTAAAATCAAATCAAATTAATTTTAAATTATACAATAGGGCTAATTAAATTAAATTAAGACCAATTTTAGGCGATACCTCAGCTGGCTTTTTCAAAGCTCGAATCGGGGTCCGGGCTTCGGCTTGTCGTGGACTGCTCGCTTTCGAGGAGACACCGCTGGTCCTTGTTCGAGTCGGCCGGGCGAAGGCGGATCGCTAAAAACAAATTAAAAATAATAACTAGCCTTAAAAATAAATTATTATCATTTTACGGCCGCGCTATAATATTAAATATACTAATTTAATTATCTTTAAATGTCTACGCTTAATTTTTGACCGGAGATTCGACTGCAGAGCGCCCGAACGACTGGTTGAGGTCGTGGAATCCACTGCTCGACGGCGTCGGGAATTTGGCGGGTTCCTAAAAAAGTCAATAAATCAAAATCAACTTGCATTTATTATTACCCATTAACTTAAACTTTGGGGCCAAAAAAAGCGGCTTTTAAAATAAAAAAATGGCAAAAGGCTATATAAAAGATTATTCAACTTAACTTATTTTTAATATAATTATTACTATAAATTAAAAGTGAATAAACAATTCATTTAGAAAATCTACCTCTTGAACCTCCGGCTCGCCCCTATGGGCCCGTTTTGCCGAGCGCAACGATCGAGCGGGGCTGGGTGGAGGTGGAGACGCGGCCGCCTTCTAAAAAAACATATTAGCGAAAAGCTCAAAATTATATTTATCGTCTATCTTCAAAAAAAAACCTTACCGAAGGCAGCGCCACTTTAGAGGTTGAAGCACGACGAGGTGGCAACTCCGGTACCGGCGTCTTGTAGGCGGTGGCCACCGTATTCCGGCGTCGCGGCGTCTTCGGGGTTGTTGGCGCGTTTCCGTGGATCGTTGATGTGGACTAAATTTAGATTTTTAAAAGATTTTATTTACCAAAATTAAACAAGAAACTAAAACAAAAATTACTCACATCAATCAAAATCGGCTTCATCAGGGACGTGCGTCTCCTAAAGTGGGGCTCGGCATCGCCGGCGGCCGCGTGGAATTTCGGTGGTGGAAGGGAGCGCCACTAAGCAAAGTTTGAGTTAAAAAAAATTGAGAAAATAGGAAATATAAAAAAAAACCCAAATATATAAATATCATCATATGATTTAATCAATCGTTCGCGTAAAAATCAAGTATTAAACTACTATTAGGTAATTCATTAAAATACTATTATAGAATTCATTAAAATACTATTATAATCATTAACAAACACACCTTATCATCCTTCAAATTTCGACCCCGAAAACCGCTTCCGCCGGCTTCCAGGGGCTTCTGGTAGAAGAGGAGGGCGTTTGGAGGTACTATCTAGAAAAATCTAATACTCTTTTTGAATCTAAACTTTAATTTGAACGCTTTTTGCGGAGTTGCGCGACAAGCGACGCAGCCGTACGCGTGCTGCCGCCGGGCGGCTCAAATCTAGCGCCAACAACCTCACCGGTAGATCCACCGTCCAGTCAGTCGCCCCAGACCGTGAATCCGCGCCGAGCTGGGAGAAGAGATCTGTCGTCGGTTTGGCCTGAATTTCAGAAATGTATAAAGAAAATCAAGCAGAATTAAACAAAGATCTAAAGCACGCTTACTTTCCCATGAACCGCCATCGCGCCCTTCCGCTTTTCGGGGATTGCCTCCTTGTTCGGCACCGCCCTCGCCACGTCGCTTTTCGTCTCGCGTCGTCTCGGGGTAGGTTTTATCTAAATTATATGAATGGGTATTTGAGTAAAAAAAAAGTACAAAATGATGAAGGAAAAAAGGGAAGGCGGAAGGGCGACCAGAGGGAGGAGGGCCAGGAGTGACCAGTGGGAGACAAAGTGGGGGAAGGCTCTTAGTCAAACGTCAAATTCGTTTCGGAAACAAGTTTTCTCAGTTTTGTTTTTATTTCAATTTTTGAGTACAACAGACGTCAAATTCGGGCGTAGGGGGTAATCGGTCGACGTCGTTGGCGTTCGGGTTCTGCGGGTTCGGTTGTTCTGCGGTTTTCGGGTTCTGCGACTGGAAGAAGTCGCTGCCGTTATTCTAAAATAATGTATGAAATTTGGTATCTTTGTCATTATCGGGGGGAGGAGGTTTTCCTTTCGTATCCAATTTTTCCTAAACTTTTTACTGTTGCCAATCGCAATAAAATCACCGATTTCGGTTAAAAACAACAAAAATGATTTCTCAATCAAAAATGGTCATTTTTGCTCAAAATTTTTAATTTTCAAAATGTTTTAAAGTTTTTAGACAGTTTTCCACTTAAAAATGTAGTTAAATTCTACTAAAAACCCTTAAAATAATCAATATTGGGTCACTCTGCATTTCCCCCCTAGACAAAAAATGCGCCCCTCCGATAATGCAAAAGCACCGAAATTGGACACCTTGAACATACCAAATAATCCGGCAACGCATTTCCCACATTGCCAGACAAGATCGGCTCGTCGAGTCCGCTCGGCAATTGGGAGAAGATATTTTGGGGCTAAAATCGGATATTTTCGAGTGAGAAAATAATGAATACCGTCTTGGCTCTCGGAGCAGCTGGAACCTGCTCGTCCTCGTCATCAAAAAATACGCCAAAAATGTCGTCAGCGTCCTCGTCTCCCAATTGTTCCGGGCCCTGAAAAAAGGTCTAGAAAAACCAGGGGAAATGGAACCTCGTCTACAGCTTCAGCTGGCTTCATGATCGGGCTGGTGGCTCGGAAGCGTTCAGCCGAGCCGGGCGATAATTCGGCATCATCCGGTCTCCCGGGCACTTCCGGAAGCTAAAAAACGGGTTATTCAGTAAAAATTTTTGGTAGTTCCCTTTTTCTATTAGTATTTTAATTATACTTTTATCATTCAAATTTATTGATTTTTAGAGTTTTAAAAGTATACAATGTATTATCACATTATTTTTAGCAGTTTTTGGTTGTCGGAAAGCTAGAAAAACTAGGAATTTTGAAAAGTAGCAAACAAGCAAAAAATTCATATAGAATTTCTAGTTATCCAGCTAGTCATTTATTCGTATTTTTTATGATTTTTATATCTCAACAGTTCAAAATGCCAGAAAAATTATTCAAATTTCGTTATAGGCCCGGTAAGAATTTTTTGCAGATAAATGGTCACCCCTGCTAAACGAGAAGCTCCAAAAACCCACTATTTTCTTGGCCCAATGCGCTTCGGCGGATTGCGTATCTACTGGGCACTGCGAGAAGAAGTCGAAAGCCGGCTTGATTTCCTAGAAAAACCCAATCAATAAGTTTTCAAAACTTACGTTCGCTTTCCCATTTTCCTCGCTCGGCTTGACGCTCGTGGAAGTCAACAAATTCTTGTCATTTTGCGCGTTCGGCGTCTGCTTCAACTCGATCGCCGCGCCGGCGCTCTTCGCACCGCGCCTCCGCGCGATGGGTTGCGGCCTCTGCAAAACTATCGATAAATTTGAAATTGCGATACCTTAAATTCCGGTGTTTCCGGTAGACGATCAATCTCGGCGCCGTTCGGGTTTTGCGAAGCGAAAAAGTCTTGATCTTTCTAAAAACAGCCAAATTTCTCCAATACACAACTTTTACCAAAAAATCCGGAGAAGGCGTGCGAAAACTTCGAGACGCCATCACTTCCGCTGCCCCTTTCGGAAGCTGCGAGAACAAGTTTCGAGGCTAAAATAAATCCGTGTTTTTTTTCTAAATTCAGAATCCAACCACATCCGGGCCCTGATCTGTCGAGAAGTCGTATTCGTCGAAATTCTCAAAGAATCCCTGCTGTTCCTGATGCTCGTCATTTTCCTGGAATTACAGTACCGTTTACATAAATTTAATGAATCCATACCTTTTCTCTGGGTTGCGAACCAACATACGGTTCACGAGCTTCTTCCGCTTCTTCTTCTACGAAATCCATCGTTTCCGGTCGTTTTTCTTGCACCTTTTGGGTCGCCAAAAAATCGGGAAGCTAAAAAAAGTGTTGAAAAGTGTTTGAGTCAAATCCCACAATTTTCTTCGTCCAATGCGATTCAACTTGCTGCGTGTCCATCGCGCGCTGCGAGAAAAAGTCGAAAGCCGGTCTTATTTCCTAAAAAAGCAATAAAACTTGTCAAAAATGCGTACTTCAGTCTGTGCCGCAACGCCAGAACCCAGCAAATTCTTGTCCTGCTCCGGATTGGGTGTCCGTTTCAACTCGATCGTCGCGCCGTCGCTTCTCGCCCCGCGCTTCCGGTGAATCTGCTTCGGGATCTGAAGCATAGGTGCGGTGCTTTCGCATTATCGGGGGGGGGGGGGCAAACTTTTTTCAAAGGCTCCGATTTTTCCAACAGAACTATATTCTAACAAAGGAAGTGTTTCTAAACTTTTTTATACTATTCCTAAACACAAAACTTTACACAGTCTGGCTCAAAACTAAAAAATAACGATTTTTCGACCAAATTGCGACCAAACTTTCAGCTAAACCAGTTTTTCTACGTTTTATTGTTTTTTCGACTCAAAATACAACTACACATTGCTAAAAACGCCATTAACCCGTCAAAAACAACGGGATACCTTAAATTCAGGCGTTTCCGGTAGTCGATCAATCTCCGCCCCATTCGGGTTCTGCGATTCGAAGAATCCCTGATCTTTCTAAAATCATAGTTCAAAAATTCAGATAGATCCAAACATACCGTAAAATCCGGGGATGGCGTCCGAAAGGCGCGTGAGGTGGTGGGTTGATCGGATGGCTTCGGGAGCTGGGAGAAGAGATTTTGTTGCTAAAAAATCTTGCTTATAAAAACGGAAGTATTACTATTTCAGGCCGCATATCGACGTCAAAGTCGTAGCCGTCAAAATTGTCGAAAAAGTCCTCATTTGGGCTTCCGCGGTCCTCGTTCTCCTAAACCGGAAATAATAATTGAAGATTTACAGATTTTCGACCTTGTTCTCCTCGCCGGCGTCGAGACGTTGCGTGGCAATATATTCGTCGACGGTCCTCTTCGGGCCGTTGTTTTCCACGAGATCTTTTAGGCCTTCGAGTTGTTCCTGCAGCTCGTCGCCGTCGTTTTCGGACATTTTCATCAACTGAAATAGCAAACGTTTCTTCAGTATTACCGGCTAAATACAAACTTGTTCCTTTGAACTAAATTTTTCTAGCATAAATAGACGAAACGTTTCTAAAATGACTTTTTGGCTTGCTAAATGTGAAACCGTTACAAACCGTTTATTAAAAAAACACAATTAAATTTCTTCCGATCAAAAATTCTTGACTTTAACCTGAAATACCAAATGTTTGCCGAGTTGTTTTCTCTTTTCTAAAGCTCTGAAACGAACAATAATGATTTTCATACCATCTTACACAGTTTTTAGTTATGAAAAGCATATAGTACATTTTTAAATTTTTTTAACAATCTTTGACTTGTTCACAAAAATATAGGAAAAATGGCCAAAAGGTCACATTTACAAAGCTTCAAAAGTTTAAAATATTTTCTCTAACTAACGATGCAGGTTAGAGCCATTTACCAATAGTACCTCATCGAATGATCGCCTCAGTGTGAACAAGTGCTCGGCAATGTTGTTGACCAAAAACGCCGGCTGGGGCCACGAATTTAGCGGCATCATGCAATCCGGGCATGTCGGGCTCGTCGAACGCGTCAGCTCCTCCACGCAATCACTGAAAAATTCCCTAGACTTCTCAATAAAAGCCTAACCTGCAGAAAATATGCTTGCACGTGCCCAAGTATTTGTACTGCGGCTGCTCATCGTCTCGAAACCCGCCCATACTAAATTAGGGTGATTTTTCAACATCGCGCTCCACCTACCATTTATTACATCTTAACGCCGAAAAGAAGCTCTCCACGCTGTCGACGGCTTTCTGCAGCTTCACCCGCAGGTCCATGGGGCCTGGAAAAAGGGGTAGATCTAATTTTGCAACGCATGTCTGCAGCGAATTATGGAATAAGTAGAATATAGACGATATTTCCAGCAATTTTGAAAGATGGGATTTCCTCAGAATTTCAAGCCCTACCAAATGAGCTATGACACATTAAAAAACGGCAAAAAAGAAGAGAAAAACTGCTCCTTGCTAGCGTGCGAAACGTGCAAAAGTTTGCTAATTGCTAATTTATAGAAATTGTATCGCCAAAATCGACCCTTTTGGACGGCTAGGCCCCCCGGCACGCTTTGACGCAACGCAAAATGCGCAAAAACCAAGCCAACCGATGACTTCAAGGAGTGCAGGGAGTTTCTCTAAAAACATGCAACCCAATGAACTTTTGGTCGTCAGTAAACTGCATTAAAAACTTCGTTTTCAAACTGAACCACATATCATCACTCTCAAGTTCGCAAAATAATCCAATACTCCAAATAACAACGCTTCCCAATGCCAATTCCATGTTCAAGCCGCGCCGGTGGCAATCAAATTTATTTGGAATTCACATGTACAGACGTAAAAGCATCAACATTACAAACATAGAACAAAAGGCATATAGGAGAACACAATTTCTAGCCGTCTTCAGTAATTTAGTCTTCATCATCGCTCTCGATGCGGGCACGTCGCGCGCCGGCGTTCTTGCGGAGGACGCGGGCCCGGTCGCGGTTGGCCATGGCTTGGCCGGCGTCGGCGGCCATGTTCTTGACGAGATCCTTTTGGCGGATCACCGCCTCCTTGACGCCGACGAGCTGGCGGTTCTTCTGAAATTGCACAAATTAATACGGGAGCGTCAAAATACACTGGTGGACGTAATTTTAACGGCACCCAGATTTTTCGAAAATTCTCGATGGTGGAATTGTTTCGAGAAAAGGGTTCTATTGAAGAAAGGCCGTATCCATTACAATACGTTACCCACAACCGTTTCCACCAGGCCGAGAATTTTTACGAAGACTTTCGTGAAAAAAGCACTTTGGCCGGCGGCCATAATTATAACGGCACTCCCCGGAAAAAATTCTTAAAATTCGGTAATTGATAGCAATTAGCTAAAAACGATTCCAATAACTTTTGGCTCCCCAATTTGGCTGAAACGGACGGAAGAGACCGCTCTCCAGGTCCAGAGCAGGTCTCTTAAGCAACTTTTAGCCTGACTTGTTCCGGTCGTCAGAAAATCGTCTGCTCGAGCTCTCTACGCTCCGTTCCAGGGTTGGAACGTGTGTCCCAAGGAGCCCAAAGCATGTTCGACCATGCTCGAGTTAAATCAGCAGGCTTGCCAAGCCAGCACTTCGCTTCCAAGCTTTTAGAATGCACCCAGGGATCGCCTGGCTCGAGTAATCGAGGCTTGTTCCCGTTAGAAAAATTAATTTTCCGGTTTGCCCTTCTACCGATTCTGTCTCGCCCATCGACGTACTCATTCGCTTAACTCATTATTGTATCCGAATTGGCTAAATCACAAGGATTGTCATGAAAAAGGCTCGTCCCGCACTGACGCCACCGCCATGAAATTTTTTCCTGGAAACCAGGAGGCTTCTGGCAACTTCTGGCATTTTCTGGTGCGAGAATGTGTGCCATCCATTGCTCTAACAATTTCTACGCGACGGTGAACCGATCTGGAGCGTTTCCAAACTCGTTAAGGATAGCGATTGCTTATTCAGTCCGCTGTCAAGCTGCTCAGATCGAATTGGACTCGATTTTTCAGAATGCTTTGTTTCAACTTGTCGTAATCAGTTAGGCGATGGAGTTCTTCGATATGTGAGACGGAATCGGAAGAAAGTTAAACGGAAAATTAATTTTTCTAACGGGAACAAGCCTCGATTACTCGAGCCAGGCGATCCCTGGGTGCATTCTAAAAGCTTGGAAGCGAAGTGCTGGCTTGGCAAGCCTGCTGATTTAACTCGAGCATGGTCGAACATGCTTTGGGCTCCTTGGGACACACGTTCCAACCCTGGAACGGAGCGTAGAGAGCTCGAGCAGACGATTTTCTGACGACCGGAACAAGTCAGGCTAAAAGTTGCTTAAGAGACCTGCTCTGGACCTGGAGAGCGGTCTCTTCCGTCCGTTTCAGCCAAATTGGGGAGCCAAAGGTTATTGGTATCGTTTTTAGCTAATTGCTATCAATTTACCGAATTTTAAGATTTTTTTCCGGGGAGTGCCGTTATAATTATGGCCGCCGGCCAATGTGCTTTTTTCACGAAAGTCTTCGTAAAAAAATTTATCGGCCTGGAATGGAAAAACGGTTGTGGGGTAACGTATTGTAATGGAATACGGCAACTTTCTTCAATAGAACCCTTTTCTCGAAACAATTCCACCATCGAGAATTTTCGAAAAATCTGGGTGCCGTTAAAATTATGTCCACCAGTGTAGTTTTAAAACTATTTAACTAATTTAGAAAGCCAGTTTTGTTGTCGGTTGCCTACTGGTCGCCTAGGCGCCTGGTAATGAATATAAATACCTTTAATAGGATTCTACACACTTTTTAGAAAACAAAAGTAAAAAAGCTGCTCATTTCGTCACAACAAGTCTGGAAATGCTCAAAAAGTGTAATCTCAACCTTCTAGAAAAATTTTTACACCTTTTTAGTAATCAAAAGCTAATAAAAACCTCATAAAATGGCATCAGTTTATTAATAAGAAGCCTCGGCCAAAAAAAGGAAGCTATCTGACACCCCCGGCTAAGGAACTAGAACACTTTTAAAACTTTAAAAAACTCACCCCTCCCGGGCTCGCCTCATAGATGGCCTCTTCGCCCAGCCAGCGGCGCAGCGGGGGTACACGGTTCCGGCGCGGGCGCCCCGTCGCTCCTTCAGCCTCCGCAGCGTAAACTAAAAAAAAGGATATAATTTGTTTAGGTGATTCAATGGAGATTCCAAAACAAACTCACCAATTTTCGGCGGCACAACGACGAGCGTTTCCGGGGCCTGCTTGGTGGGACGGGGCGCGCGGCGGGCCGTCAACGAGCACGGCACGTAGGTGGCGTTGGCGTCTGGGGTGCCTGGCTCCTCGGAAGTTGTATCCAGATCTTCGACACGTGCTGCGCGGCGTGGCGGCACGTACATCGGCTTGTCCTCCTCGCTGTCGTCGAGATCGTCGAAACCTGAATGGTGGCATTTGAGAGATTTTGGAAACTTTGGCTAGTGAACTAGAAAAAAGGAACTTCTTCTAGGCGTCCTGAAGGCAATTTAGTAAAATAGAATTGAAAAATAGGATATATAACAAAAAATTACCTCCGGCCATCGAAGATCGGTGACCGGCGGCTCCCATTGACGAGGAGCGCCTCGTGTGCTGGATGACCTCGTCGGACGAGCTTGACGTGCTGGGGCGGGAAGTCGAGGAACGCGCTTCATCCTTGGCGAGCGGCACGGACGCCTCGATAGGTTTCACCTCGGCTTTGACGACTTTAGGTAGGGGAACATCAGCAATGCCGGACGGTCCAGGGACCGGGAGTCGCGCCTTGGCTCGCTTGACAGTCTTTTGGAGCACGGCGTGGAAGAGGCTGCGAACTGAAAAGAAAGTCATCTAAGAGGGAAGAAAAACTATCAAAACCCGAATTTCAACGTGCAGGCGACGGTTCTGGTTCGTTAGCGGGGGGACTAGCGTATTTTATTCCGCGCAATCAAAAACCTACTTTCTATTGAATTTTTAGTAGCTTACGAATGCCAGATATAAAAAAAAAACTCAAAAATCAAATTTTTGATGTTTAGATGAATTTTCAACCCAGAAATTACAATTTCATGGAAACATTCGGCATATTTGAAGCTTTTTTCGATAAAAAACCTTACATTACTTATAAGAAGCATAGGAGAGAATAATCAAAAGTCAGATTTCCCGCCCCCGCTAACACAACAGAACCCAATTAACTTTCCAAAAAACGTACCATTTTTGTTAGCCTTCGGCGTTGATTGGCGAACGGCGACGACCGGGCTTTCGGCTGAATTGGTCCTCTCGTGATCACGATGGCAGACGCGGTGCTTCGGCGTAGCCAGCCGCTCGAACACTTCTTGACGCGGTGCACGGCCCGGCGTGTTTTGTAGACGCACATTCGGGAGGCCCGAGTCCGAGCCGCTCGACGGGCTCATCGGCTCGCCATGGTGCTGGGCTTGTTTTTGGACGGCCGGTGTCACGGGCTTGCGAAGTGGCGTGCTGAAAGCGGAAAAATAAATAAAAACAAAAATACGTTTTGAAAATCCCAAATTTCCACAAATATAACCCTAACGGCACCTGACTAATGCATATTTCAAACAAACTCACGGAGAAATGGCAATCGGCGATGGAGAAAGAGGCGTTTCGATTTGGGCGAGAGCACGTGGTGGCGGGAACACGATGGCCGGCGGAGCGAACGTCTTCCTGTTGTGAATCTTCGGGTCGAGCGTCTTGCGAATGTTGAAGCTTGGACGCAGCGGGTTGCTGGTGAGACGAGGCTGCTGCGAGATGACGACCGACGGCTTGTTCTCTTCAGGAGCTTCAACGACCTCCTCCTCCTTCTCCTCTTCCTGCTCCTGCTGCAACTGCTTCTGTCCCATCGACTTTTGATGGTAGGCCGTGGTGTCGACCTAAAAATAGGTATGAAACGGGAAATTAAATCATTCGCACCTCCATAGGCTCCTCCTCCTCAATCCCCTGCTGCTCCGAGCGGACCCTGATGGAAACGGATGCGCGGCTGCGCCGGAAATCGATCGAAGTCTGGGAGACGTAGAAGCGGCTGTAGTTGCCATCAGCCTCAATCTTCGAAAAGTCCATGTCGAGCAGTTCGGGTGGGCGGTGGCTTTTTGGCGTAGATTGGCTCGGTTGTTGACTAGCTGCAAATGATACGTAAAGAAATTTTCGATAAAAACTACGGCACCCTCGCATTATCGGGGAAGGGGGGATTTTCCCAAGCCCAGAAAGGACTAGCTACTTAAAAGTAAGTATTTCAATACCTCTGAATAAAATGCAACTAAATTTTAGGTGGTAAGGATATGAAAAATTTGCACCGTTTTTTTGATCAGTAGATATTTAGATGGAAATGGCCATTCTGAGTGACAAATCTATTTTTTCATATTTTTCAATAAATATTTGCAAAGTTTTTACGTTTAGGAATAATAGGACACGACTTAGAAACAATTTCCCCGATTTATGAGAAAATTTTGACGCTACGCAAAAGATAGTAACCACCGATAAAGCGCAGGCACAAAAACCATAATAAAAATTACCCTTCGCGATCGGCGTCACCTCGATGCCCTCATCCGGGAGCTTCTGAGCACGAGGCGTCCGTTCTCCGTCGGTGATCGGCGTCTCATCTTTCATATCCTCCTCGGCTGCAGTCTCGTTGTCCGACGACCATTCGGACCCAGATTCGTCCTTCGCGATTCGCTCGGGCCCGACCGGCATCTTGTCGCGGAAAATGTTGAATGGGCCGCCGAGATTTTGCTCTTCCTAAAAGCAACATAAAATACACAAGAGAACCATGATTTTTACCTCTGCCCAGCGGCGCGCGTTTTCCTGTCGAATTCGGCGAATCTCATCGGCATCGAGGGCGCTCGTTTCGAAGGTATTTTCCTTGTCTTCAACGGCAGACTTGGTTGAAACGGCTCCGAGCGATTTGCGAGCGGCCATGGTCGTGTCGGAGAAGACGGTATCATCCTGGAATTACAGACTTCGACAAGAAAAACCACTTGCTAGGCAGCGCCCATCAGTAAATTTTCTCTACGCGAAACGATAAAGAAGCTCACCAGCAGATCAGCGGGGCGAACTTGCGAGCGGCGCTTCAGCCCTTTTGTCGTGTGCACCAGCTCGCCGTTCATGCAGAGGCGCTGCTCTTCGGAGAGGTAGACGCGACCACGCCGGATCGGGCGTGGCTTCCCCTCGGTGGTGGTCATCTGAAAAGAATGAAAATGAAAAGATGTTGGCGTCGAAAATAAGCGCAAACTCTCGAGAACAAGAAGGAAATCAGGGGGATCAACAAACAGGAAAAGAACAAAAGAAATCAACGAACAAAAGTTCAAAAAAACTAGATGGAAAAGGCATCTAGGTTGTATTTTAGCCAAAATGGGAGAGTTTTATAGTAGCTAAAGTTTGCAGAGCGTCAATTGCTGCACGAATTTCAAAGCCTGATAGCATAGGGAAATTAGGCCTAGAAGATGTCTAGATGAGAGCAAATTCAATCAGAGAGTTCTAGTTATTGTTACAGCGCGAGCAGTTAAGCGAATTTCAAAGCCTGTTAGCCTAAATACAGCTATTTCCAAGCTCTAAAAGCCCAAATAAGCGGTAGTTTCTTCAATTCGACAGTGTTAGATGGTCAGGCAACCGATTATGCGTGGGGGTAGCTCGGTTTGAACGCTGCCCCGTGGCGCGCTCGCGAAAGAGCCGCGGCTGGGGGACCATGACAGTTGAGCAACGACGTTTAAGCAAATCGGGAAAAACGACGTTTGAGCAACTGCGACTTTTAAGCAAACACACGAAAACGACGTTTGAGCAACTTTCGTAAGAAAAAAAAGAAAATGCATGTAAAATAGCCGTTTTCATAGCTTTTTTCTTAGTTTTAAAAATACTTTGTGCTAACTAAAGTCTTCTAAAGCCTAAATTATACCCCGGGTTGGCCGACTTTCGCGCCGTGGTTCCCTTTTGATGCCACTTTGTGTGCATTCACTCAGAAAGGTAGTTTTATCCGGTTTTCTCTTTATTGTTGGTTTTTCGGTACCATTTATAGCTCAGATGCATCCACATGTTTGATAAAATGGCATTTGGAAAAGAAAACGAATCAAAACATGGATTTTATTGACGATTTGTTGGAAATTTCAGGTCAAAACCCAGGTTCGACTCCTACGTTTACTTTCCTGATATTATAAACTTGTTTCTTTACGTATTCCGACAAAAAAAAACGCCATACAGAAGCACAAAACCTTCAAAAACTAGAGTCTTCAGGACATTCAAGGCTAATTAGCTGAAAGAAATACATTCCCTGTGAAACACGGCCGATCCGGGGTATGATTTAGGCTTTAGAAGGCTTTAGAAGGCTTTAGTTAGCACAAAGTATTTTTAAAACTAAGAAAAAGCGATGAAAACGGCTATTTTACATGCATTTTCTTTTTTTTCTTACGAAAGTTGCTCAAACGTCGTTTTCCTGTGTTTGCTTAAAAGTCGCAGTTGCTCAAATGTCGTTTTTCCCGATTTGCTCAAACGTCGTTGCCGAACTGTCATGGTCCCGCGGCTGGATCGTATTTGAAGGGTGGCACAAAGGATTCATTTGCCGATACCTATTCTATCTTTTTCAATACATGCCAAAAGTGAGTGGATAGATAATATCTTATGAGACGGTTTCTGTAGCTGAATCGCGCAAGGAATTCGACAAAACTAAAATGCGGCATCGTGAAAATCGGAGTAGTGAATGGAATTCGTTACAAAAACATCACAGAAAAAAAAACGAAAAAGGAAACGCGACATAGAGTTACCGAAAAAATGAAATCGGAAATCGCGAATCGAATCATCAGCTGATGTATCTGATCAGAGCTTGCGCGTATCGATCGATCGACTCGATTCGGGAGCGAATCGATGATACGCATGATAAACTGCGCTCCCGAATCGAGTCGATCGATCCATACGCGCAAGCTCTGATGTACGCACTAATGGTACGCGTGATCGGCTACGAAAAATCAAAATATCATCGCTTCAAAGTTTTTGAAGTTCAATAAATGTAATGATGACTGAACGCCTTTGGATTCCCATAGAGTACAAAAGGTCAAAGAAATCGTCGTGCCTTGTAAACTCTTTTTATAATTTTTCCAATTTGTCAACCATAAACAGCGGAAGTGTTGGTAAGCTGTATTTGACTGGTCCCAACGTAAAAAAACTTTACAAATTTTTACCACGAAAACACAAAAAAGATAATCTTTCGACCAAAAAGGTCCAATTTTTTACCAACATTCGATTTCAAAACTATTCTAAGAGTCTTTTAGGCGGTTTTTCTAGTTGAAGTCGAGTTATATTTTACTGAAAGCATTATTAAAATGTTTACTATTAGTTCCTAGGAATTTGGAATTTCTAGACTGATATGAAAAATCCCCCTCCCCCCGATAATGCGAAAGAACCGCAGATTTTATAACATTGATGACGCTAAAGTTTTTTAATATAAAGATAGGTTCGGCAGCCTTCGATTATCGATTAGCAGGGTGTTTAATAGCTTAATAAAAGTTGTGTTACTTTTTCATTGGTCCGCAGCCAAATTTTTTGTCGGTTTTCGCCGGTCATCGCGAAAACTTAGAAAAACCCGGTTTCCCGCACCGTTGTGATGATGTCTTCCTTTAGGAGGGCAAGGTTTCTCACATTTTCTCCCTTTCCGCGGAGCACATTTCGCTGTTGCTCCCCGTGAAGGAGCGGAGGCCGTGGCGTAGGTCGGTGGCTTGCGGATCAGCCGATCATCCGTGCACCCAGCGATCAACACCAAAGTATCGCCCCGCACACAAACGCCAAACCAACGACAGCACGGCACAGTTTATTGTGCTCATCGTGAGCATCGAAACGGGGATAGGTGGCGGGTGTACTTCGCCAATTTCGGGCTTGCCCTCTAGCTGCTGGGGAGCATCGGGAGAGCTTTGTCCGGGTGTTATTGCCGTGACGCGCCGCGGGGGGGATATGAGCATTTTAGGGCTAGGAGAGGCAAACGTGTGTCGTGGAAGGCTTGATGTCATAAAGTTTGGCAAGTGTTGGCAGGGTTTCTTTCAAAATCCCGACATCCATGTCGAAATTTACATTGGCTATTTTTCCCGGAAAAGCCTTCGAATCGTATGCAAAACAATTAGAATTTCTGAAATGCCGAATTTCGACATTATGAAATTTTGACATTGTGAAATTTCGACACTGAGGTTTTCGACATTATGATCACAAATCGTAGTGCCAATCTGATAACTTGCTGCAGGATTTTGAAAAATTAGAAATGGAGGTTCTGTTGCATTATCGGGGAGGGGGGACAGAAAAAGTCTAGAAGTGTCTAGTAAATCATTAGGAATTCTATTAAAAGTGGTTTTTGTAAAATATCATCTAAAAACTCAAAAAATTTTTTTGAAAAAGTCGTTATGTTGGTCAAAATCGGCCATTTGTAGTCGAAAAGCCTGTACGCAGATTTTATAGCTATAAAGCATAACAAAACTTTTCGAAAATCTGAATATTTTCGACTTATTGGCCAAAAATGTATGAGGAATGGTCAAAGAGGTAAAAATTTTCAAATTTATAATTAAGAGAAATTTTTTTCAGATTTTCTTGCTTGGAAGCCGCGCTCCAGGCTCCATGGTTAAACGTGCTTGGCGTTACGGTAGGTGTCGAGACCCAGTGGCTGCCAAGGGTCGAAAAGCTTTTGAAGTTCGGGCTTATCCTGATTTTTAGCCCTTCCCTAGAGTACGAAACGCTACCCTCCGCCATTTTGTTGCCGACCCCCCCCCCCCGCCATGTTTCCCTCCATCTCCATAGACCGGAATTTGTGGCAACGTGTAGCCGGATCAGGGGACCCCCTGCTCCCCTACCGTACCCCACCATAAACGGTCCCGTGACGACGTCGATCTTTCGGCCATCTCCCCCTCCCCGAACCCGCTCCTTTGCAGTCTGTTTCGATGTTTCACTGCTCATGCTCCCCACTGCGCGACCATCTATCCATCCAGGCAGAGCTCACCCACCACGCCAATATTGTCGTTGTCTATAGGTTCGAAACATTTTTTGGGCACACGTTCGTCAAGGGCAATAGTAAATGTTTTTCGGAAAGCAGGAAAATTGGGCCACTTTTGGCGGTGTTTGATGCTTTTGGGACGGCTAAAATTTAGGCTTGAAGGTGAGCTTAAAGCGGAAATCGACGGCAATATTTATTTCATAACCTGCTTCTGCAAGCTATTAGCAGATTGGCAACAGACACTACAACGAATTTTTTTTGGGTGCTCTGGATACGGCCGTACCGCCACATGCGACGCGCAGTCTTGGCTACCGTCAGGGAGTACTGCTGCGTACCCATTACGGTATGGAAAGGTAGGTTTTGGGGGCTGCCTCGAAGCCATCGCGATGCCTTTAATAATGATGACTGTCGAAAAATCTGCATTTGAAATCCATAAAGGTCACTGGCATCAAATAACAATCGATTGACGCGAGGCGTAGACTTACGTAACTTACGCAAAATTTTTCTTTTCGTACGTTAATTGCCTTAGAAGCATTTCTATTTTACATATCACCCCAGGCGACGAACTTTTCACCTCCCAAATGCTGACAATGACGAGGAAGCCGTGCCATCTCCGGGTGCCACACTTCCTCTGCCAAACCGGAATGATATCTAACAATTAGAACTTCCTCAATGGCTGGTTGATCAAGCTAGGGGCACAAAAGCGCACTGACAGACGACGAACTTAGGATGAAGCTTGGCTGAAGCTGGGCTGTACTGGCCTTGAAGCAAGGCATATGCTAGGCTAGAATAGCAAGTAAAAAAACTACTAGAAAGTACTTCGGCATTACACCTGACGGTGCCAGATCCGCTTCCAAAAAAACGTGGCGAACTTTTTCTGGTCTTCAAGGCCGAAAATTTGGGCGGGAAGAAATTTCAAGAGTTACCGTCAGCCTGGAACTCTCTCACTCCCTCTCACTCTCTCGCTCTCTCGCTCTCCCTGCTCGATTTCTCTCGATTTCTCTCTCTCGCTCGCTCGCTCGCTCTCTCTCTCTCTCTCTCTCTCTCTCTCTCTCTCTCTCACTAACCAGCATTGTCCCTCTCGAATCGCCGGGATCATGAAATACGATAACTCGAGGCAGACTAGCAATATCTCTTTGTCAAAATTCAGGAAATCAAGAATTTAAGATACTTAAAATCTACACGAAAATGCATTAAAATTAAAGCATCTAAACCCCCACATTT